CTCATCGGTATACGCACATACATATTTATGCATAAACTTACATTCTCGTAAATATTTGCAATTAAATATGCCAAAAATACACCAAAATTGCACAAACACACACACATACACATGCATTTCTCGTGCACTTCGCAATTTGGACCATATTTGACCCAGCAAAAACTATCTACCATTTTTGCTGCAATTTTTTGGCTTTGAAAAATTCGTTAATTAAAAATTTCATAATTTACACACAAAGTTAAGTATTTGTTGGAATGTGTTCGGAAACCATTTTCAATGATTCAATGCGTTGACTGACCGCAAGCAGCCAACAATTACACACATTTAAATGTCTATTTTATTCCGTATTGCATTTTGAGATTTAACGTTCTTTGACAGGATGGTAATCCATTTAAGTCCTTGAAAATGACAAATTTCAACTCCTATAACTTTTATAGGGTCATTCGCCTTTTTTAATATTCTTATTCTTAGTAAGTGGTTTAAAAGATAAGGCTTATGGCCATAAATTAAATATAAACCTTTAACAAAGTCATTACCCATATTGGTGATTGTACTTTTGATTAAAATCTAAGTCTGCTGATCCTAACAAACTTAAGGCAAATAGTTTCATTAGGCTCAATATGTTAATCCGATTGGTAATAATATTTATAAGGGGTGTCTTAATATAAAAATGTCAATATGTAAAGGCGTTTTGTAACAACATTTACAAAGTATTTCTTATTATGAAAATGTCAATAGTAAGTCATGGAAAATTTCTCGAGTTTCTCTTTATAAATTAGGCAACCGGTTAACTCGGATTAACTCTGTAAGTACATCACGATGGCAGGTGCGCTTAGCCGCAAAGAGATTACAAATAGTGCTAATCTTAATAGTTTTATTAGCCCCCATCAATAAAACGCATGAACTTTGATAGAGATATCTGCGGACAAAGTTAACGTTATCAATGTGTACTTAAAAGCATGGGTCTCCCTTTCAATTGGATCGTCACTTTTAGGTGTTCAACTAATTTAACTATTTTTTATTGAGTTGGAAGTACAAAAATTGACTTCCTTTGGTATTCTTATAAAATATAATTCGATTTAAAGTAAAACCAACCATAACTCTGAAAACAAATGCACATTATATGCAGGCCATTTAAAATAGAAGAACATTTAATTTTTTGTAGCTTACTTAAAATAATAAGTAATATTTTAATTAATTTAAGACTTGTTATGTCTTGTAATTTTTGTCCTATGAAATAGTTTTTACACAGGTTGAAAAACTATTATAAAATCTTATTCAAGTCAAACAAGTTTGCAAAGTAACTAGGCATTTTATTTATATTTTTGTAATTTTTATTGCCTAAATCCAGAGGGTTTCACTGTGCTGGCCCCACTGTGCGCAATGCACCGGGCTCGGGCTCGGGCTCCTAGCAATCGGGTCAGCATCATGTAAACAAATCGAGTGCATGTGCACTCGCCTGCTCAGAAAGCCACCAGTGGCCACCATCACCACGAGGCCAATGGACAGGGCTTATCGCACTTGTGGCGTAGAATAGACTGATTAGGGTGCCGTTGACAGCTAGTCGTCTTGCTCAAAGTGCGAGATATTAAACCAAATGTATTTCAATTACAATTGTAGCGCACTTAACATTAGGTCCCCGTTTTGCGAGCGTTCGAGCGGTCTCAATCAAACGAAGAGAGTGACTAAGAGAATCGAGGCCAGAGACGTACAAAACATTTTTATGGGGGCGATCAAAAATAAAAAAGCTACTGCATACTGTATGTAACTGAAATATGTAGTAACCATCTTAATGAAAAAAATACTCAGAAAAAAAAATATTAATTAATAAACATATATCCTATACTTAACAATTTAAAGGAAATCGATTTTTTTAAGTTTTACAATTTGAAAATAGTGTTAGATACATGTGGTTGAAAACAAATGTTCTACTTAAATAGTAGTCTTTGTAATTTTTAAGATAATCTCTAATCTAATTTCTTGGTCTTTTCAAGGAATAATAAACGTATGTGTGTTAAAGCACTATTATAAAAATGTACATTACAAATCTTTTATTTTGCTGAATATTTTGTTATTTAATAAATTATCTTTTTTACTTATCAATAATCTGTTTTTGTGACAATTAGATTGCAAAGACCGTAACGATCATGCGTTTTTTTTTTTTAAATTTAATGTTTTATTGTTAAAGTAAATAACATTTTTTCCATTTTTCAAAAAATGTATTATTTGTAAATATGAATACAAAAAATTACAAATTCATATAATTATTAATTTTTATAATGCATCCAATTCTTAAGTATTTAGCGTTGCTCAACTACATATGTTATAAATAAATGTATTACTTTTAGCTATTTATAGATTAAGTTAAATCTAAGATCCCCCTAACTGGACGCCCCTGATCGCTAAGTCAGCCAAGCGCCGTTATCATCACGGATTTGAAAACAACACAGAAGCGCTGACGATGCGAACATTGTGCAAACTGACGTCCACGGGGGCAGTCGCTCAGATCGGTTGAGTAACGCGTCTATAAAATTGACCAATTGACCAGTTGACCAGTACTAAAGCCCCAGAACAAAGGACTAATTTAAGGATACAGTGATGGCCGCGGAACAGCAGCAAAAAAGAGGCGCGGAGGAGGCACCGGAGGCCAGGTTGCCGGACCTCAACTTTGTGCGCGACAAACTGCAGAAGTTCCAGACAACAATGATGCGAGATTTCGAGCAGCGACTATCCTGCATGGTGGATGATGTCCTCCAGGACCTGCGGCAACGGGAGCTACGCGCCCACGAGTTCCCCAATTTCGAGCGATCGGATCGGAAGAGCACCTGGCACAATCGCGTCACCAGTGAGGCGCCCGCGGACGTCAGCGATTCGCCAAATGGTCATGCAAATGGAAATGGCACAACTCCAAGGCCGTCAGCGGCACAGCTCCAATCCGAAAAATCCGGCCAAAAACAGCGACGACGACAACTGCCCGAAAAAGTCTTCGTCGCCCGGGAATCGTACCTCACCGCTCTGCTGCAGGTGGAGCACATGCGCACCATCTACCACATTTTCTACATTATTCTGGTCATGTTCTTGCTGAACGTGATCTGCTACGATTACTTCGTGGAGGGGCGGATCGACCTGGGTCTGGGCACTGTCCGGGGCGGTTTGCTCCGCCTCCACTGGGTGATGGGCGTGTGGCTGCTGGAGCACGTCTTCGTCCTGGCCCTCTACTTCGCCTTCCGCGGATGGGCGCTGGTCAGGCACAAGCTGAAACCGCACAGTAAGTTTTTGGATAAGGGGCTAACAAGATAAGAGAGGTAGTTTCATCGATCATCGAATTTCAATTTCAAAGACAGTTTTATAATTCAAATCATAGATAGAGCATATTATGAAATTGTTTAAGATATTTAATTATATATATATATATTTTAAATAAGTTAAAATAAAATTGTGATTGTAAAATGTAGGTCTTATACCAATTATAAAAGGTCAGAAGTATGAGGCTAAAAACCTTAATCACTCCCCCTTTAAACTTGCCAATTTATTAAAAAAAACGATACAAACTTTTTATGACAATTTTTAAAGAGTGTTGGTTTTTGCACTTAACCAGGAAATTGTGACGACTTTGTTTGTAACAAAGGAAAATCAAGTTAATAGTTAGTCATCTGACTTATACTAAGATAAATTGCGTTTCTTTTTTTTTTGACAAAAGCTGGACTTAACTGATGGAATGTTGCATACCCTATTTTTAAAAAACCCTAAATGTAAAGTTACTATGCAAAAGCTTACCATAAGAGAAAATTTGCATTTAAATTGCAATTAAATGTACTCTATACTTGTTAAATGAAGCAAAACTAAACTTACATTGAAAGAAGCGAAATGATATGAACTGAAGCCTCCAATTTGAGTGTAAACCATGTACCTAATGAATTTTCCTTTTTTTTAGGCGCTCTCCAGAGCTTTTGGTCGCACAGCTGCCTGATCCTGTATATCAGCTCCCAGCTGGTATTCTGCTTCGTGTCCACCTCCCTCTGCCTAAAGTTTAACCTGCCCTTCGTCAGTGGCTGTGTCCTGCTGCTGGAAAGCACTAGACTTCTGATGAAGATGCACGCCTTTGTGAGGTACAATGCAGAGCGGGTTTTGAGAGGGAAGGCCAAGAAAGAAGATGCAGAGGAGGAGGAGAAGGAGGAGGCCACTGGCAGACCTTTTGTTCCACCGCTGAGCTGCTACACTTACTTTCTATTTGCCCCCACGCTTATTTACCGCGACAGCTATCCGCGCACCTCGCACATCCGCTGGAAGTTCGCCCTGAACCGCCTCCTGGAGGTGGTGGCCATAGCCTTCCTCTACGCCTTCATCCACGAGCGGCACATCCACGAGCACTTTGGGCAGTACGGCCTGGAGCCAATGGGACCCTCGCAGCTGATCCTCAAGCTCTTCGGCATGATGCTGCCCAGTGCTGTGATCTTCCTGTGCGGATTCTACCTCATCCTGCACTCGTGGCTGAACTTCACGGCGGAGCTGCTGCGCTTCGGCGATCGAATGTTCTACAAGGACTGGTGGACGTCGCACACCTACGACGGGTACTACAGAAATTGGAACGTGGTGGTGCACGACTGGCTGTACGAGTATGTGTACAAGGATATGTACAGTCATGTGTTCCGCGGCTCCAAGGTGGCCGCCTCGCTGTCGGTGTTCATGATCTCCGCGCTGGTGCATGAGCAGGTTCTAGGCTTTGCCCTGCAAATGTTCTTCCCGGTGATGTTCTTCTTTTTCGGCGTAGTCGGTGTGGCCTTGGTGTTCATCATGCGAAGGGCTCCCAAAGTGCTGGGCAACATCTTCCTGTGGTTTTCGCTCATCCTGGGCAATGCCTCACTAATCTCGCTGTACGCCATGGAGCACTATGCGCTGAAGAACTGCAATCTGAGCTACCGGAGCTGGACGGATCACCTGTTGCCGGCGGTGTGGCGCTGCTACAATTAGTCAATTAAAATTAATCACTACTTTTTAACTGTCTTTACAGTGCGTACACTGGGGGTGTACGCTTCGATTTGTATTTTAGGTAAATAAACTTAATGAAATTAACAAAAACGTCGTCTCCATTTCCTCGTTTCGTGTCTTTGAACTTGCCAGCTTAATTGCTCCTAAAGCTATGGGTATTAATTTTACATCAGTGTCTGCCTGATGCTAACTTATGAAATACTGCGTGAGTGTTGGGTTTGGGTTTCTTGGGAGGATTCCCGGTTCCCTGGTTAACCGCACAGATTAGCAATGGCCTGCGCTGCATTTGCCGCAGCCACCTGTGGCGCGTCCTCTGCCGGAATTCGTTTGCGGCGGAATAGAATCACATGTGGCTCCGGCGCATGGACCATGTAGTGCACCCAGCCGGGACTCTGCTGCACGCCCAGATTGCGCCACTCCGTCTCCGTCATCAGATGCGCCTTGGGCACATGTTTGGCCAAATCCGGTGGCAGGATTACATGCCTGCAAGTGTGATCAAGTTCAGAGGTAAACAAAAACTTTGCGGGGTGTTTAGTGACTGTGCCACCTACCTGTATTCAAAGTTATCATCAAAGTACTTCTCTGAGTACTGGATTTGATCGGCCGGCATCGCAAAAAGACAGTAAATCTAAGGTAAATAAAATAATTTAACCAAAATAGGGCAATTAATTAGCTGGAGATGGAACTTATTTGACTAACAAAATTATCGCTAGGGGTATTCGTTATTGAACGGTCGGTTATCGTTTTAACTATCAACTGTCAAAACTGACAGACCCTTTGGCGCGAAATTCAAGCAAAGCGGGCAGATAAATAATATAATATTAAATGTTACATTTCTAATTTATATTTTTAGTTTGTGTTACCATATATTGATGGCCAAATAAAGTTTAAACATTTTCAGTGACTTGGTCTTTTAGAGAGTAAATTGAAAAGGGGTTTTTAAAGCTTAAAAGTCTGTCAATCATAGGGTTAATAATGTTCGAGAAAAACCAAAAAAAACACCTAGGCAGTTTTACATTACCAGTGTGACCGAAACACTCTGGCCTGGAAATGCACAGCCCTCGCTCTCCTGCAATTGAAAATGCGAATTGTTCCGTTACTCGGTCATGGCCACACTGCTTGTGCGTGGAGCAGCGCGGGGAGAGGTTCCATCGATGGGCAGAGTTTTTATATAAGCCCCTCTATGTGCCACTCGTCTCTCGCCAACAAACCAACAACAACCAGCCTGGCCAGCGGACAACAACATCGCACACGCGTATAAATAAACGTGAACGCATGTACTTAATATTAGCATAGAGTTGTCGCCTGCGTGTATTACATATATAACATCCACATACTCCTATGACAACGGGACCCCATCCAGAACAACAACAAAAGTAACGGCGGAGCAGCTAGAGGAAGAGCAGAGGCGAAGAAGGAAAAGAATAAGTATTGGAAGAGAGGTGAGGGCTAAAAAGTAAATACAGTCAAGCTTCTACAAGTAGAACCACCATTTGCCCCCAACAAACAATCCTCTATTGAAGATTTTGAGTTACACAGGCTTTCAAACGTATTCATACTCCCTATTATCAATAAAATGAGTACCATTCTATCGCGGGTGTCAAAGCTAACTGTCGAGAAAAGTTCAACTCAAGGAAGTTTGACTGTGCATATGTACATACATGTGAGCAGAGCGCAATTAGCAAAACTTTTTCAGTCCAACAGACACCTACCCCACATACCACTCAAAAGTTTCAATGCGGGCGTAAGGAAGCCGAAACACCTGCTGCTGCTGCCTGTGGAAAAGCTGGAGAAGCTGCTCCAAACTGCCCAGGTGACATCCAACCAGTTGGAGGCGACGCACCTGCCGCCTTGAGGAACCGGAGACAACGGAGGAGGACACGGACTCGATTTTGGAGTAGCGGCCACCATGAACGCCAGCCTCATCTATGAGATACTCATGTATCTGAACTCCTTCTACTTCGGCATGTACGCCGCCTTCGAGGTGGGCGTGGGCGTACTAAAGGCGATCAATCTCAACTACGGCGAGAACGCGTTGTCCCGGGAAGCCAGTATCCTGCTCTCCCTGTGCATCATCGAGACCCTGCGCATCGTCTTCGGCCGCAAGAGCAGTCTCAGCGATCGTGGTGAGTGTATGGTACCTCGAAAGGAGGTGGGATAAACCCACCGGCAGCGATGATGACATGGCGAAATTATTTGTTTGCCCGGTCACCCGTCCCCATCTCCATCCCCTTTCCGCTGAGACCATAACCCATAAACGCTGGCCGTACATATACGTATATGTAGTCCACACGACGTATGCGTAATTATGGTCATCACCCCGGATGAGTGTTTAGCGTTTGGGGGCGGCAGGAGTGGATGGCGCCCTTCTGGCACATTAAGCAATATTCAATGGAAATCTATCAAAGCGAATCATCGAAATGAGCCAGCTTCTCACTGAAAATCTTATTTAAAAAGGAATTGGTGCTATAAAATGCCCTGTTGAGTGTATTTTTAATAATAATAACTTTCCCTGCTGTACTGAAAGAAGGCCTTTATAGTTTTTTTTTTAGAAAAACTAATTTTGCAACATATAAAAAAGGTTTTTAAAAACGTAACCTATTTGGTATAAAATTTATTTCAAGTTTAGTGATTAATCCTTTTGATAGAAAATAGCTTCACTCTCAATACAAAACATAAATATTATAAAAGAAGTATTGGCAAGATTTAACTCAAAAACATTACATTTTCAAACAGGCTCAAACTAAATCTATGTTGCACTGAAACCATTAAAACTTGCTGATCGATTTAAAATCTATATATATTTTAGGAACAACCACGAGCAAAATTAATTATAAACAAAGCAGACGTTAATCATCTTCCAACTGAGGCGAATAAAATTGTATTCCATTATATTCCCATACATTCATAGTTTACTTTTTTTTATTGCAGGCTGGCAAGCAACCGCATCCGTAATATTAACACTGCCCAGTCTTGCTATTGTTATCTACCTGTGTTGTTTTCAAACCTTTGTTCTCAAACTCGAAATTATTCTGAGTGCCTTAATGATCACCCTACAAGGTGCTGAACTAGTCTACGCCAGCATATTCATTTGTACAATGTGTCGCCCCGTGACATACACCTAGCAGTTGATATACCACGTTGCCGCCGCCACGTCAACGACCAAGATCGAGATCAAGACCAAGCCAGCACTAACACTCCCACCTGGAGGAGGAGAAGAAGATGGAGGAGGAAGAGGAGTATCCACAGCCGAGCGGCGACTACGACGAAGACGAGACACTTTCTTCTGGCACATTCACATCAAACGATTCGCAAAGGCCTCAAAACTGAGCTACTTTAATGCCGACTAAGCCACAAACTATACTACAAGGATCCACTTTCAACTCGCAGATTTTAAAGCAAAGCCCGAACCGAAACATACCCATTGGGTGGCACTCGTGGAGGATTTTCCTCAAGGTAAGTGGACCCTAATCGACTTATATAATCCGTACAGACCATCCGCGTCCACGGAAATCACATCGCAACTCGAAACGCGACACGTCCGATTCTATCAAAAGCAAAGCTGCATTTAATTTTCATTTCTTGGTTGCATTCTTTTGTCCGGCCTTTGTGGCGATGCCTCCCTGCTGGCGCAGTTGCGCCTCGGACTCGCTCGTTTTTGGTATTTTTATACAGCTCTGATGGTCTAAAATTATATGCGAACTGCATGCTCGTGCTACAACGCTGCTGTCCCCTAGGTGCAATGTACACTTCTAATTCAAATGTAATATACACGGGCCACTGCGGACACGTTAGGCTGTCTAGAATGGCCAGATGAGAGGGCCGCTTGTTGTCAGCATTCTCTCGGTTCGGTCTTGGCTAGCCATCATACCCTGTATAATTCATGGGATGGTTTAATAAGTATAAGCAAGGAGGGGGTACAAATTGTGCCATAAGAATTTAAACAAATTATAATAATCGCGATTTTGTTATCAGCTTAAATAATACGATCCAGTTCTAATTGCCAATCAATTTTAAAATTGTATTCAAACTCTTTTTATTCCAAACCATACGAAGCTTTTTTCAAAGACAAACTTAAAAGCATTAGTCTGTCACTAAATAAACAGTATTTTTTAATTGTAGCGTACCATTTAGGGGCGGCTATTTACCCAAGGGAAATGTCCGCCAAGGGAGTTTTAATAGTATGCGTCCTAATAACTTTTGTTATGACCAGGGAAATTATTTTTGCTAATTTCTGAACAGGCAATTCGTTGGCCCATGCTGACCAAAACACCGAGCAGGGAAAACAAATAAAAGGCGACAACGGCCATCAGCACATTATTCAAATAAACAGCACATTTCGCAGCGACAAACCGTGAGACCGCCGATGTGATGCCGCTGCATTGGCCAAGCGAGCAGCACGGCAGGTCCGCGTTATTATTATGGTCAGTCTATAAATACAGTGCCCAACGTGAGCAACGCCGCCGTGTGAGCGATCCGGGAGATCGATTCGGGCCAATTTACGGTAGACTTCAAGGGGAAAAGCCGGAGAAACCAAGCCGCCAGAAAGATGCCGCCCAAGCGGCCCCCACCGCTCGTGCCGAAGAAGCCAAATCCCAGCATGAACTACGAGGTGCTGATCTACCTCAACTCGTTCTACTTCGGCATGTTCGCCTGCTGTGAGATGGCCATGGGCCTCCTGAAGGCCATCAATCTCAGCTATACAGGACATACGCTGGCCCTGGACACTGGGGTGATGATTAGCTTCATTGTCTTCGAGACGATCCGCCTGATAATGGGACGAATGAGTTCGCTGGCCGACCGAGGTAGAAAGCTTTCGCCCGCCTTCCAGTCTAATTTTAGGATTTTCTAAAACAATACAATTTTAGAGGGTGTGTTATCATTTGAGGCACAATCGATTTAATCAGTCTTTTATATAAAATAGTCATCTTCTATAAAACCCTATATATTAATGTATACCTATGCTCCCTTTTTAAATATTTGGCAATTGATAGAATTCACTTCTTTACTTTGTTAGCAAGGCATAGATCACATTTGTGATCACTTTCAAACAGCTTCTAATGGAGTTTTTCTCTTCTTCGATCCCAGGTTGGTCAGCCATACTGTCGGTCTTTATGACCGCCCCCTGCTTCGTGGGCGTCTCCTATCTGCTGCTGATGCAGACCTACCGACTGCGCCTGGAGTACTGCCTGTGTACGCTGCAGATTGCACTTTACCTGACCGAGGTGTGGTATGCCATCGTCTTCGTTTTCTCGCTGTGTCGTCCAGTAACTTATGATTAGTCACATAGACAGCAACTTCAGCCAACCAGCAACAAATATACATGTGGCGAATGTTTAGCAATATACAAGATCGGAAACTAATGAATAGAAGTGAAGTGAAACATAATGAAGTTTAAAATGCAGTAGGAAGCTGAATTGCTCATGGCCGAGGAGAAAACCAAACAGAAACAAAAAAAACATATGTAGCATATTAATACTTATGTATAGTAAGGTTTATGATAACATACACACACTCTTATATACATATATTAAACGGTTTTATATACAAAAATTGTTAACATGTAAGCATCAATTGGAACCAATATAAGACAACAAGCAAAAACTTAAACTTGAATAATTTTCAAATTTTTAAGATGACAATTTTTTTGTAAAAAATATCTAAAACAAAAAAACACCCAAAACAAATTTAATGTGTGCAAATAATTTATAATAGTTCACAGATAACTCGAATTCTTAAAAGAATTGTAAAAAATAGAATATCTCAGAAAATCTAGTCAAAAACCGAATCATGTGAATTGTGCTTAAGCGAAGCAGTTAGTAGTTTATACCAATATTCAAAGGCAGGAGAACAAGTGTGCAGAACTAAACTAAATCAAGCCCAGCAAAAGTCTAGACCATGTGTGTACTTTAATGAAAATACTTTATATAAAACTAGCATATAGCGTAAATAACATGTTCAAGACGGTACTAAAACTAAGCCAAACCCAACCCAAGAAAGGGCAAACAAATAAGCTAAATCCTAAACATCCTTAGCGTGTTAAAAACTAGGCAAAAAACCCTCCATTAAAGTGACGCAATCTCCTTGCGAAATTCTTTTCATTAATTCTGCCTATTGGCAACTAAAAACCCCCGGTTAATCACACTCAATTATCCGCGCCTGAAAGGAATCGAGGATTCAAAACGCCGCTCCACTAATGCTAGTCACCAATATTCACCAAAGAACGCGTACAATTTGTAAAACCTTTTTGTGGTTTCATAGCAAATTAGCGCACAAACCGATTGCAAAACTCTCAAAAGTCCACAAATCTCATGCTTTTAAAAAAAAAATTTTAATTAAACAAAACCGCTGAAAGCTGGAAAAACCAAAGTCACAGCCTATGTTGAATGATTTACTTGTAAAATATTTATGTCATTTCGTTAAACGCAAAATGTTAACATACTTTTAAAGCGCGTGTAAAACGGATTAGTTAATAAACAAAAAATAAAAACCAAAACCTAAAAGATTTTATGACTAATTTATAAACACTCGAAGAAAATAACAAATTAAGATCAAAACCAAAGAATCCATATATGTTTATAGTAGGCTATGGTTTCATAACGATCTTTTACAGCACTTATACAGGTGTATTTTTTCCAAGCAGACAAAATTTTCGAAACAAATTTCAGCCAAACAAACACAGTTTTTTCCAAATTTGTGTACTCTCCAAATTCGGGAACCAGAACTGCTGCAGGCCTGTGGCTATTTCAAGGAACAAAAAAACAGATACCATTGAGCTCCATGGATAAAACCCACAAGTCGGGTGAGTTCTAATAATATGAGGGTTTATATACATATATTTTATATATTTATGGTTTCCAGACGAGGCCTTTGACCAGTCCGTATCCAGCAGCAGTCGTCGAGTCGTGTGGAAGCTCAATAATGAGGAGGAAACCTTTGACTCCTTGGTCAGCTATCGTCGCGTTCCCGCCCAGAGCCGCAGTCAGGTCACCGATGTGCCGACCAGGAAACGTACGGCTGGCGAGAACTGGCAGCTGCTTCTGCACGACCTGGACAAGAAGAGGGTCGGAGTTCAGGAGCGCGAGGTGGGCAATAAGACGGTCAACCAAAAGGAGCCGGTGTGGAAAGCCAGCCAGTCATCGGCCACATCTTTGCCGGAGATAAGTGAGTCTAGCGCCAAGGAACGGGCCATCGTCTACTGGCGGCGTCTCTTTGACGGTATTCATAAGCGGCAGAATGGGGCTGATGCAGAGGAAGACGTCGTGCTGACCGCGAAGCCCAGCCTGGCGTTGCGCTACAGGCCATCCCACGAATCGCTGAAGTTCAAGCGGAGCAAGAGTACAACCCGGGAGCTGGTAACCGACCTCAAACTGGAGTCCTTCTGCCTGCCGCCGCAGCAGACGTGCGTGGTGCGTGAGGTGGAGCCTAAGTTTGCCCACCGCAGGCGCATGACGATAGGCAACGAAACGGATTCTTGCTGCTCCGGTGAGCTGGAGGTGCCCAAGAACAGTCCAGTTCAGGATCAGGAACCAGGTTCCCGGGTGCGCAGTGAGCTAATCAGTGTCCATGTCGCGGCACCCACCAGCTCCTCGTTTGTGGATGCGGTGCGCCGTAGCACATCTCCGATTAGGCGTCGCACTGTGCCGAGTAAGGTGTCCGCCGCCGGGACGAAGAGTGGATCATCCCCAGAGACGGCGACAGCGGCGGGGGGCAAAAAGTGCTTCAGCACCAGCAGTGGAAGTGGCGGCACCTCCCAGCTGCCCACTTTCCGGCAGCGCCAGCAGGAGCTGCATCGCTATCGCGTAATGGTCGAGCGACGGCGTCTTGACCTCCTGGAGTTAAAGATAGCCCGCGAACGGGAGGAGGCGCTCCACAGCGAGATCTTGTTCCACAAGGACCTGCAGATCAAGGGCAATGCCATCAAGGACAACGCATTCAAGTTATACGAAGACAACGACTGCTCGAACGTTTAAGGCTTTAACAATTCAACGGGACTCTGTTTCGTCTCGAAACTCATAATGGTTTTCAATAGTTCGCAATGGCCCTGGCCGCAGTGGTTCAAAACTCTCACCGAAAATAAACCAAAAACATTTCAATCTATGAAATATTCAACCTGATGAGGACTTTTCAAATTTATTTTTGCTGCTGTTAGCTAATTGGAAATAGGAAAAGATAATATAAATACGTATAACACTGAACCTATGTATTATTTTAGATAGTAGTTTTTTTCAAACATTTTTAAATTGTATTATTTTGAAAGTAATTTAGCGCGCAAGCTCCATTTGAATATCAGCTATTTGTCGTTTTGCAGCACTGCTTATGCCTGCGTTTCGTGGTGAATGGACTTTATAGTCTCCAACCAGTTTCTTTTTAATTTGTTTGCTTCGAAATTACTTAAAGGTAAAATGTTAATAAACGTGTGCCGAGTGTGCGGCAGGAGCAGGCTGTGCCCAAAGGCCGTAAATCTCTTCAAGCCTGGCCGCCAAGAGATGGAGGTCCTGCGTCGCATCCACCTAATAACCGGAATTCGCGTAATTTTTGGCCATAAATAAAAATAGATCGTGCAGTATATAATTGCGTTCCCTTTTTTATGTGCTACCATGGTGCAGCTGCAGCAGATTCCCAATGCACCGGATATGGTGTGTTTCTGCTGTCAAACGGACATCGTTTCGGCCATGCACTTTCGCAAGATCTGCATCTCGGAGCAGAAGAAATGGGTGCCAGTCGAGAAGAGTGAGGCGGAAGTGGTGGAAAACCAAGACCAGGAAGCGAAGCCAATGAAGGCGGTGCCCAAGAAACAAAGAAAGAACCCGCGGCGAAGGGTGCGGTCCACGATGCCCGTGGAAAAAGTGGACATTGTTGTATCACACGACAATATACCTTTTCCGGAAACAACAGGTGGCGACGATGAATTTGATCAGCTAGCCGAGCTCTCCGGGCAACCGGATACACCGGAATGTGATATAAAACTGGATGATGACGATGCAAAGATAGAGGATTGCTCTGTAAAAGAGGAGGAACTTTCTTTACAGGAAGATGAGGATACAGACTCGGAGCGCAAACTAACCGGCAAAGTTCAAATCTACGCATGCAACACTTGTGGAGTTATTAAAAACAATAAATCATCTTTGTTGAGGCACGAGTATGACCACACCGGCAAAAGACCCTATCCCTGCAAGTAAGTTAAAAGCAATTATGTAATTGAATCCAAATGCCTAGGTCGAATAACAAGATAGATTGTTCATTGCATTGAGTGTGTGTATGTATGAATGTTTAATCAAGATGAAGATAAGAGCATGGATGCGAAGCGCAGAGCTCTGTATCTGGTAAGCAAAGGCTGGAACTCAAATTCCAGCCATGCTGCATAAATTTGTATACGAAAAATCTTACATATTTATGTACATATGAAATGGGGTCTAAAATAAATGCAAAATCAATTAAATTGCTGACATATCATAAAATTTGTTTTTCCTTTTTTTCAGGGAGTGTACAAAGTCCTTTTTGTCAGGTAATGAACTGAAGGCCCATAATCTCACCCATCACACCAAGGATCCTCCTTTTCCCTGTCGCTACTGCGAACGTAGATACTTCTCCGTGGTGGGCCGAAAAAAACACGAGAGGATCCATACGAATGAACGTCCTTTCGTGTGCGATCAGTGCGGCAAGGCATTCACAAGGACTTGTATCTTAAAGGCCCACATGCAGTCGCACACCGCTTTGAGAAAGTTCGGGTAAGTCAAAGATATTAAAGTGAAAATGCAATAAGTAAAACACTAATGTTATTGCACCACTTCAGCTGCGATGTATGCGATCGGTCGTTCAGCTTGAAGAAACATCTCGTCACCCACTTTGTGTCGAACACGCACAAGCGGAACGCTGAAATGGCTGGCTCATTATCATCAGAAACTATGTCCACGGTCAGCATCGAAACCAACGAAACCTGGCCTCAAATAACCAAAATGGCTAGTCCTATCGACGAAAAACTAGTGCAGACGCACTTCGACATTTTGTGTCAGGAAATTTAGTTGTGTTCAATATGCCATTTTAATCAATTTCTCAGTTAGGAATACCAAAAAAAAAAAGACATTTCGGTTAGTACGGATTCGCAAAAGCTGAATGAGAACTAAAACTACAAAAGACAATATCAAATTCTGTTATGTGTTAAATTTTAAAATTACTGAAGTGTTGGAAACAAGAGAATCTCGGAACCAAATTTTTATACTCTGCAGCGATCTTTTCCAAAATTTATTTACAAAAATAAATTTCAAGGAAATGTGTGGCAAGTTTGCTAATAGTCTTCCGCTCAAATATCAAGATTGTGTCTAAATTGTCACGTATAATTTTGATTTCTGTTTTAATTTTTACAAAAATCTCATTACATTTTAAATCCCCTGCAAGGTTTAACAAAGTCTGTTTTATAAACGTTGAAGACTAACAATTTTACAAGTTACATATAATCTCAAAAAACATATTTGAATTACATTTGTTTTTAAATGTCCTGCTTTAATTGTGTACAAAAATCGATCTTAAAATTGTACTAACTTCTGCCAGGTTAAACTAAGTTTGTTATATAAACGTTGAGGAAAACAATTTTACAAACAACATATAATCTCAAAATGTTTTTAAATGCCAGTTAAAAGGTTAGGTTTTTATAACATTTACAGAAAGTTTAAAACGGTTTTAACATTTTTTAATGTTAAAACAGTTGTTTTTCAAAAATCTCAAGTCATATACAAATTGTATTATTTTTTGATTGTTAAGAAAACACTCAATTGTTAACCGACATATTTTTAGACGAAAGAATTTTAAAAATACATGAGAAGTATACAAACTTGAACATATTGTAACAAGTATTGGTACATAGCTGCAATCAAAATTAAAGTAGAAGTATTAATATTATTATGGGATTTAAACAAGTGCCTTCAATCAAAAAATTTACTTACTTAATTAAATTGTTTGATTATTGTTATTAAATCCGAAACTGTACAACTTCTACAACAGTAACCTTGATACTTATATAGAATTTTCAATTTTTCTGTGTTATTATACCATTTGTAGGCAGCTTCTAATAAATCAGATTTCTCGATTTAAAAAAAAGTTACTTTATTTTAATAAAACTTAAAAATGAACGTAAATTTTACCGCAAATGTACAATTTTTACAAAAGTGACCTTGGTACTTATATAGTTTATAGTATAACATCATATTGTTCATTATATTGTTCTATTTTTAAGCAGCTTCTGATGAATCGGACTGTTCGAATTGTTAAAAGAACGTTACTTTATTCAAATAAAACTTGGATATTTAAAAAAAAATTCCCTGTTTTTGGCGCTCTGCATATATTTAACGCGTTTTCCTCTGACTGACGACGCAGCTGTTTGATTTGGATTAACTGATTAACATGCAATTGCATTTCAATTCTATTCAATCAGTCGAGCTGAGCCAGCAAGATGCTGAACAACAACATCTGCAGAGTGTGCGGAAGGCAGAAGGTCTGCAAAAGAAGCGTGAATCTTTTCGACTTGGTCAATAGAAAATATCTAAGGCACTTGCAGATGATAACCGGACTTAGGGTGAGTAAAAGTGTGTTTAAAATTACGGGCAAATAATAGACTTAAATGTGAATACATCAGTTGGAAGCACAGGAAAATGCTCCAGGCTTAATGTGTCTCTGCTGCCAAATGGATCTCAGATCGGCTCTGGCATTCCGTAAGCTGTGTATCAAGACCCAAAAGCAATGGCTGACCATCGAGGAAGACCCATCGTCCAGTGAGTCGCAAAGCGAAGCGAAACCTGAGCTGAAACCAAATAAATGTGCCGAAGTCAGCACTTTTGAGGAGAGCGACGACGACCGGGTGCTGGAAGAAACGTTTCAAATACTAATTGAAGAGGAGCCCTTGGATAATAGTTTGATAAATGAGAAAGAGGGGCCAGAGGAAGTGGATTGTAGCCAAAAAGGGGGTGAAGATGGCATCTCCGATTCACCCCCAAAGATCCCCAAAGTTACACACAAACCCCAGTCCGTTCAAAAGATAAATGTATGCGATTTGTGTGGAACGCCATTCGTCTCCAGATCCTCTTTTCTGCGGCACATGAGAAAACACGCGGGCGATCGACCGTTCTGCTGCAAGTAAGACAGCCTCTTTGCTTAGAATTGTAGATTTGTATGCTAATTTTGCATTATTTCTTTCTAGGCAGTGTGATGCCAGGTTTCTCTCCGCTGCGGAACTGCGTGGCCATCGTCTGGTCCACACCGGTGGCCAACCATTTGCATGCCGCTACTGCGAGAGGAAGTACGTCAGCTACATGGGTCGCGTGAACCATGAGAGGACTCACACCAACGAGCGACCCTTTGTCTGCGAAGAATGCGGCAAGACCTTCACCTACTCCACCGTCCTCAAAAACCACATGGTCATCCACACGGGCGAGAGGCATTTCCGATGCGACCTTTGCGATCGCTCTTTTCAGAGAAAGGAACACTTAGTAGCGCACTTCCGAACGCTGTTTCACCACCAAAATGTCGAAAAGAAGAAAAGCAATGGCACAAAAACTTAATCCTATTTCAAAAATTAAATCTTAATCAGCGGAGTTGGAGGAGATACTTAAGATGGGCTAACTTTCGTACTAAAAGTTAAGGGATCTTTATACTTTTGCATGTAAGGACAAACAATTGTTTAACATTATAGAAAATCAAACAGATATTTAGCTATTCAGCAATTTTCTTAATTAAATTTCGTTTATATAAAGTGTAGTTTTCTACTTTTCTCACAAAAAAAAATGTTTTTATTTCTACCAAGTTAAAACAGTCATTCTTAGGGTTATTTCGTCTTATATTTGTTTTTCCACTTTTTAACACACTGTTGTTAATAACTTCAAAAGAAGTGTAAAGTTTTCTTTCATTATTTTTAAACGGCTAGCAACCGTTATTAATTCGCGGCCTTACTCGCTACCAGTGTTGTATCACGTCTATAGGAGTTATGTGGATTGGGAGCGTTTTGTGGTGAATGGCAAATTTATTTTGGGTGGCTGTCAATGTTTACAATTGGAAATTTACCAACTTATTTTAGGATAACTTGGTAAAATGCTTCATAATGTGTGCCGCGTGTGCGCCAGTAATTCAGACAACTCGAAATCGCTTAAACTATTCAACAATAGTGCTCGCAAAGTGCTGCAACAAATCAGCTTGCTCACCGGCATTCTGGTAAGCCCACGAAAACTGTTAGTTACTTCCATTTTAGTTGATTATTTTTGTGGCAGCTGCACTGTGAACCCGATTTACCCGACTGGATGTGCGAGATCTGCCAAAGGGATCTGCAGAGCGCCATAGCCTTTCGCGATCGCTGCGTGAGCAGCCAGAAAATCTTTAAGGATTCGGTGGCCAAGAGCGAGGAAGTTAGCTCCCGTTCCTCAGTACGTCGCAGTGCCCGCTCCCAAAGACAACGCCATGAGGAACCCGTCCCAGTCCCGACCCCACCCAGTCCCCTAGAGATGATGATTAAGCTGGAGAACCTGAGCAACGGCGATGAGGAGGACGATGGCATCGATCACCTGGATTCCTGCAATGAGGCCGACATGGAGTTGGCTATTAAAGAGATGGCCTCTTCTTCGGAGAATGATGGGCCCGCCTCACCCGTCAGGGTGAAAAGAATTCGACGTCGTGGAGCCAAAAAGTCCGGGAAAAGTGAAAAGCGACCCAAAGTACCACTCCCTGTCTTCTTTTGCGATCAATGCGGCAACAACATTACCGGCAAATCCTCCTTCGATCGTCACCTGCGGAAGCACAGTGGGATTAGGCCGTTCCAGTGCGAGTAAGCAACGTCTTGGTTGTTATTAGATTGTATTCTGATATTACAACCTTTGCAGATTATGCCCCGCACGTTTCCTTTCCTCCGGTGAGCTGAAAGGCCACCAGGTGATGCACACCGGGGATCGCAATTTCCAATGCCGCTTCTGTGATCGCTCATATGTCAACTACAGCGGACGACTGCGTCATGAGCGGACCCACACAAACGATCGACCATTTGTTTGTGCCCAGTGCGGCAAGGGCTTCACCAACTCGTACATCCTCAAGAACCACATGCTCATCCACACGGGCGAGCGGCTGTTCAGGCTAGTAGCTGCTCTTTTGCCAATGCCATTGATCACTTAATCAAAAGCTTTTCAGATGTGAGTTGTGCCACAGGTCCTTTGCGCGACCTACCCACTTGAAGACTCACTACCGCTCCAATACCCACAAACATAATGTGGAGAAAGCGAAGGTGGAGTCGGGAGAAATTCAGCAGCCAGCGGAGCAGGCTAAACACGTTCCGGGAACCGAGCCAGAGGCTGTTGCCTTTACGATAGAAGTGCCTTTGCCCGCTGAGCAGGAGCAGGATGATGCATCTTTGGACCTGGGAGCCCTGGGAACTTCAAATCTGATGTATAGTACAAATTAGATCATTAACGAACAATCTCAACCTTAACAAAGCCAAATATAGTTTAAACAAGTTTTCTTATTGTCTTCTATAGTTACTAGATCCTTAAGTAAAGTTAGTATTACTAATGAGTTACATTCTAATATATTCCCTCTTCTGAGTCCTGATTGATTACTAAGCCCTCCTTTTGCATGTTGCGCTTGTGAGCATTTGAGCGGTAGTGAGTGTTGAGATGCGTGTCGCGACTGAAGGACTTATTGCACAAGTTGCACCTGCAAAGAAATATAATTGATTGCTAAAATGTGGCGGCTTAATTCCGTTTCTCACCTAAAAGCCCTCTCTCCAGTGTGTACAAGCATATGGTTCTTCAGAATATAGGCGGTGGTAAAAGAACTCTTGCATTCCTTGCAGACAAATGGGCGCTCGTTTGTATGGGTCCGCTCGTGCTTCAACCGCGTGCTGTAGTCTGAGAAACTGCGGGAACAGTACCGACACGCAAATGGCTTCTCTCCAGTGTGCTTCCGCGTGTGACGCTTAAGTTCCGCCTGCGTACAGAAGCGACCCGGACAGAATCTATACGTCAATTTTTATGGTAAGTTTTTAAAGATTAAATACAAGGGTGGTCGGTCAAAAGTATTTAAGCAAATAAAAAGCATTTGAACAACGTACTCGCATTCAAAATCCTTGACGCCGCGATGGCGCTTGCAATGCAGCATAAATGCTATTCGTCCTTTGACATTATTTCCGCACTCCTCGCAAACGTATGTGCCATTGGATTCACCGGGTTTCCTTCGCTTTCTTCTTGTTTTGGGTTGCTGAGGGCTTGGTTTTTGGCCTGGTTGTTCAGGCACATCTTCATCGCTCTCATAGATGAGGTAATCCACTTCATCATAAGTGACATCGTCGTCGTTAGTCCCATCCTCATTTGCTTCTGATTCACTGAGGATGCTTTCCAATTTGATGTACGACGTTCCACTTGGATCTACATCGCCATCGTCTATTCGCTCGATTTCAATACTGATTTGTGTGTGGGCCAAGTGATCCTCCGGCTCAAAGATCCTTCTGTAGTCATGGGGGACTTTCAGAAGCTCCTTTTCATTCATGGATTCGAGGAGCTCCCGTTGAACTTCCAGACATCGATTCCGAAAGGATATGGCTTGTTTTACGCGTGTTTGGCACGACATGCACAATAAAATGGGCAGACTGGTACAGTTCTCCAACTTTAAAAGACAAAGTATGATAAATTTGAATATTTTTGGAGGTGTAGCCACTTACCCAAACCCCAGTTAGTAATTTTATGTGCTCCAATGTGTTTTGATTGTGTTTTTCAAATATATTCATCGACCTCTCCCTATTTGTGGTTTTACCACACGTACGACACACTTTTGGTTGCATTTTATAGCCGATAAAACAATTTAAACAAATTGCCTCCAAAATATTTTGGCAAACGCTACGCTCGATTCAACCAGCTGTTTAGTTTTGCCATTCACAAGGAAACGGCGAAAAGTTAAAAAATAAACACAATTATAATTGGGTTTTTAAGATGGTTTTTATTCATGGTTAAAGTTCTATTACAATTTATGTTATGTTTTTTTTTAGCAGAAATGCTTTTTGGCTGTGCGCCATTGTCGTGCATGCATCGCTTAGTATTGCTACATTCAGAGTTTAGATGTGAAGGCTGTCCTCCTCCTCCTCCTTAAGATCCCGTTTCTGCTCCTGCTCAAGGACCTGCTTCATTTCGGCCTTCTCCAGGTGTCGTTTGTGAACTCCAGACCGGAAATGGGTGCTCAGGTGGGTGGGCAGCATGAATGACTTGTCGCACAGCTCGCACCTGCAATAGAATTCCAATTTACAATATAAGTTTTAGTTGATTTCCCTGCATTGAGGGTTCAACTCACCTATATGCCCGCTCGCCGGAATGTATCAGCATGTGGTTCTTGAGGATGTAGCCGGTGGTGAAGGCCTTGCCGCAGGTTCCGCAGACGTAGGGTCGTTCGTTGGTGTGGGTCCTCTCGTGCTTAACCCGGGTGGTGTAGTCGGTGAAACAGCGACCGCAGTACTGGCACGCAAACGGACGCTCCCCGGTGTGCTTGCGCATGTGGCGCTTCAGTTCGGAAGTGGTGCAGAAGCGAGACTGGCAGAGCCTGACGATAAACACTTTTTAATCAAACTGTTACACAAAGAGGGACAGAGATTCACTTACTCGCAACCGAATTGCTTGTCCCCGCGATGGCGACGGCAGTGGAGTTCAAAGGCCATGCGACCTTTGATGTGGTTTCCGCACTGCTCGCAAATATAGACTCCTCCGGTGCCCCGACGACGTGGATCATCCGAGCGGGTCTTCGGCTTGGGCGGCAGACTACACTTCTTGACCACAATGTTCTCATGCTCGTACTCATCGTCCAGCACATTGTCCAGCACGGCCACCTCATCATCGGAGTCGTAGACATACGCGTCGTTGACATCGCCAACAATCAGCTCGGTATCATCTTCCAGTTCCATATGCTGCTGCTCCTCGTCCTCGGCCATGATGGATTCGTACTCGGCCTCCTCTATCAAGGAACCGCCATCATCTTCGCCAGTATTGCCTTCGGCCACCTCGTAGTAGGTACTTTCGAACTCCTTGCTCTCGTCGATCTCTTCCTTTGGCTCCTCGAGCACTATTTCCTGGTAGGTAGCGAATACCTCTTCATCGTCGGGCGGCAGGTACTTCTTCACCGCCTCCGATATCTCCTCACCCATGACGGCAGCCCGGTAAAAGGCCGAGATGCCCTGGCGCTGCTCCTCGGTCAATCCCATGAGCAACTCCCGCTGGGCGGCAATGCAGCGCTCCCTCAACTTTATGGCGGCGGCCAGTTCAATGCTGCAGCACTCGCAGATCTGATCCGGCAGACAGCCATAGTTCTCCAACTACGGGGGAAATCAAGGTTTGCTTTTATAACTATAGAATTCTATAAATCGAGAGTGGAAAATTTACCCGCAAGCCTGTTAGCGCCTCAATGTTGTCGATCATCTTTGTGTTCGTCCGTTCGAATATTTTCGGCGATCGCTTGTTGCTCGCATACTTTCCACACACGCGGCACGTGCTCTTCAGGTGTTTCAGTGCAGATTTGGACATTTTTTCAGTCGCAATCCGAAATTAAATCGTTTTTTATGATTATTGTGAACACAAAATATAAAACGCGTCGCTTGTCAATTGCATTTGGCATTCACCTGGAGGTTCGCTGTAAAAAATTGCCATTCACCACGAAACAACGCCTGTCACATGGGCGCAGTTTGAGGGATCAAATGTAAACTGATGTGATATTTGGAAATTTAAATAAATTATTTTATTTTTATAATATTTTTTGTAATAATTTATTTCAATTCGTAATATTAATTAATTATAGCTTATAGGCAAATTAAAAAAAACTTGAAGTCATGTTAACTAAAAACCAGCCAATAAAAATCATATAATAAAGTTTTAAGCAAATATAAAAATTAATGGAGCATAACTACATATAATTAATTAAATTTTGTTTTCTATTTAATAATAACTAAATAAATAGTTTCACAACTAGTAACTTGTTTCAAAATGTTGGCCCAATAAGTACAGTTTCTTCCGAGCGTTTCATCCCCCTCACATTTTTCTGCCAACGCCCATACCTGTTAACAAACAGCTGTTTGGAATGCCGACAACAACAACCGCAACGCTATGGCGAACTTGGAATGGTACTTTATTTACTTTTGCACGAAAATAAACAAATACGAATTAATAAATATTGCATCTGACTGCAGGGTGTGCGTGCCGCGATGCTACGAAGTCCGGAAGAACCGCCTGGCTGGCCAGGCCACGCTGGATCATCCGCTGAAGCAACAAACAGTGTCGGTGGGTAAATGATACAACGCCCCTTGGTATTGCTCTATAAAAACATAACTCCTATCCAGTTGGTGGACAGCAATCCCTTGAGCCGGGCTCTGGAGGGCACCGACCCACTCTCGCAGTTTGCCCGCCAAGATGAGGAACTCAACGATCCCCTCAGCCAAATGGTCAGCGAGTTCGTAAGTAAAGTGGCACCACCCGAAAGGAACATGACTAATCATTTCCTATTACGGTCTGCAGGACCTCAAGACGAAGCGTCGCGAGAGGGATCGAACGGAACCGGAGGACAACACGCTGCAGTGGAGCAGCCGTCGCCTGGGCATCCTCAACCGCTTTACCACCAACGAGAAGCTATCGCTCTCCACCAGTTTTCTAGTGGCCTCCGGAAGCTTGGATGGCGGCAGCGAAAGTAGTACGTTTTTTGGTTGATTTGCTTACCATTTTAACCCCCCAATCCCAATCTTAGTCAAAGCCCAAACCGTGGTGGCAGACAAGACCAAGTACCGCCTGGAGCAGTTGGATCACTTTGATGATGGCAGCATGCGCCACATGATGGATCTCACGCAGCAGGAGTACATCCAGCGATTCGAACAACTTAAGCAAGAGCTCATCCAGTCCTGGCACAACGATCAGCGGGTAAAAGCTCTGAAGATAGCCATACAGTGTGCCAAGATGCTGGCGGACACCACTGTGCTGCAGTTTTACCCAAGTCAGTATGTGCTCATCACGGACATTCTTGATGTTTTCGGGAAACTGGTATATGAACGATTGCGGGCCAAGGCCTCTGCAGATCCCGCAGCATCGGCGACCACATTGGAGCGAGAACGGGAGGCTGCCCGGGATACGTGCCAGAATTGGTTTTACAAGATCGCCTCTATTCGAGAGTTGTTGCCGCGTCTATACTTGGAGCTGTCTATATTCAAGTGTTACGAGTTTCTGTCATCCTCTCGCGAGGAGTATGAACGCATATTGCAACGTTTGACCCATCAATTGAGGGGTATAGCCGATCCTTTGGTATCCAGCTATGCCCGCTGCTACTTGGTGCGAATGGGCGTGACCCTTACGCCCAGTAAGACATACATCAGGGAGAACTTTAGCGATCTGTTTGTCATATACCCACAGGTGAGTGTTATTTGCTTTGTGAAAATGTCAAACATATTATCTCTTAACGAAAAATCATTTGATAGATCTTTCGCTTTGTGGCCCGCTTTAATCTTCACCCGGAGATCGTCACTGCTAGCTCCTATCTACAGCTATATGCACCGGCTTTTGACTATATGTTCCTCTGCCTTGTTCACAAATGCGAGCTGCACACGCAGGATATGCTTAATGAGTGCAAGCAGTTAAAGAACAAGTAAGTCATTTGCCTCTACAATCTATCTGTTATACTAATACTATACTTAACCACAGCGGTGCAATACTGATGTCTATTCTAAGTTCCTTTAAGTCCGAGTTTATTGCTACAAATGCATTAGAATTCATAGAGCTTATTAATGCTTCCGAAACGCCTGGAATCTCCAAGTCCCAGTTGCTACGGTCGCTAGGAAGCTGCGTTAGTAGCTGTGCTCCCTTGCAAGAGCAGCGGATTTCCTTTTTGAAAGCTGCTTTAGAGACCATCAACAAGCTGACGGACCCTAACGAGTACATCAACTGTGTGGAGACTTGGGCAGTCTTCGTATCTCAGTATTTTACGGTTAGTTTGCTAGTTCTTCGAGATTCTAGTTTGTTCATTAGATATAAGATATTAATTAATCATTTTTACATTTTTACAGATTCACGAGGTGAACCGATTGTTAGGCGAACTGAATGCGCGGATGTGTCTCGGCAAAGCCTATGAAAAACACTACTCCCAATTGCAAAGCATTCTAACCAGGATTATGCAAAACTATCGCAGCATTGAGTTACTGCTGATTCAGCCGAACTTTTTGCCCTACTTGGACCTCTTTCAAAAGGAATCGGTGCGTGTGGAAGTATGCAAAAACATTCTCAGTTTTTACAAACAAAACAGCGAGGAATATACCTGCGATGCTGTGGTAACAAACGCATTGATGTATCTCGGAAAGATTTTGAATGATTCTGTGAAGTGAGTAGCTCAATAATATGAACAACATATTGTTTGAACAATTTGTAATATTATCTCGACAGTGCCCTCTCTGTGGATGATGAGCGCCGCCAAATTTCTCAGCTCATTAATGTCTTTATCCACAAAGTTCACTTTGGGCGTGACCTGGAGCAGCAACTCAGTTTCTATGTGGAGGCCCGGGGCACTTTCAGCAATTTGGATGCCGTCTATGTGACTCTGGTTCATGCGGCCTGCAAACTAGCCACCCGAAATCGTTCCAAGTCAACGGGATTCGTAAAGGCCTGCATCGCCTACTGCTTCATCACCATTCCCAGCATTGGAGCTGTTCAGCAGCAAATGAATTTGTATTTGCTTTGCGGTCAACTGGCACTGCAGCATCTCTGCCTCGGGCAAGGCAAGTATTAAATCAGATTTATGTGACTTGACCATTTTATATTAATTTTATTTACTACAACAGCCGATGCCTGTTTTGAGGCTGCCTTGCAGTTGGTTAATGAGCTGCCCGCAGCTACCGTGGACTTCGATGGAAAGCCGCGTAGCTTAGAGCGATTTCTGGTGTCTTATATGCGTAATTTGTTGGCCACTTTAATCGTGGTGCCGGATAGTCCAGAGCAGGGCGTCCTTTATTTCCTACGACTGCTGCTGGATGTGGTTGGAAGGCACGAATTCAAGGCGAACAGCACGGCGCCTAGTATCATCTATCTACATTCCCTGGACATGCTTTATGTTCAGAGCTTGGAAAAGTTTCCTTATCATATAAAAGGCGGTAGGTTATAATAATGTACATTATCCTATACAAACTTATACATTTAATCTTATTTTGCAGTGGTTTCCAATGACGATTTGTATGGCCACGATCCCAAGTTTTTGCAAGAGGTAAACAACATGTGTGCTCAGGTTGTCGATGCCATCCTGCTGCAGCTGAAATCATTGGGCGTGGCCCAGCAGCAACGACCACAAGCGGAACTAGCCTTGGAACTTTTCCTACGCATCGTGCGATATGCTGACCTCGAGAAGGAATCACTCGCTCAATTGGCAGTGAATCTATGGCTGCTGGCCAACAAGGCTCAGACACAGCTAGATGTAAAGACACTAGTATGTTGAATTTAATATATTAACTGAGAATTCTTATTATCAGTTTGTTTCCTTTGCAGCCACAAACCCTGCGAAGTGTGGAGATTCTGTACAAACAAGTAAAGGATGCCTCACCCTCTCAGGCTCAGGCCATAGCAAAACTACTGCTGCGCATGCGCAACAGTTGAGAAATGAGCTTGTAGCAACTAATAGTTATCCGCTGAGATTATATTCTCTTATGTGCATGAATCTTTTACGGATTTATTGCCTGGTTCTATCTTGCGTTTTTGCTTTTTCTACCTTCAAAAGGAACTGACACGTTTTGTATTACTTTTCTGTGCAATTACAAGTATATTATAACGTTTGAAGACTTAATTAAATTTTGACCTGTAATTTCGCGATGTTTTTACAGAGATAATAAAAAGCATATTTAGTAAATGGTTTCATTCAAATAAAACAACTTTTTGATGGTGTCTTAAAAGCGCAATTTTGCAATGCGTTTATTATTCAATTATTGATTGCTCGAGCCCGATTGGCACAGTCCATTGGGCAACATAAGCTGTGCGTTACCAAGTTTAAACGCTGTCACCATATATAATTTAAAATTGTGCCAATTCACATAGTTGCAGCTGGTGTAAAAGTGGCATTTACATTGAGTTACGGATGAGAGTGTAAAAATACGATGTACATTCTGTGTATTCTTATTCTTTTTGGTGTTTAAAACATTTGAGGCATTTCTGTCGATTGCAATTTACAAATAAATGGCTAAAAAACTATGGCTGACACGTGAGAGTACCGAATTGAAATCAACAAACTTAAGCGAAAGCTCTATGAATATTAAAGATAAATGTGAGATATATCACTACGTATGTATGTAAGTGTTTATGTAAATATTTATATATATGGGTACTTCATTGTTAAATATATATAAACAATTTTCTTCAGGGTCTTAAAATCACATGTATAAAAATACCCCAATTATACAGTAAATAAAGCCTTTTCTAAAGATTAAATAAAACAATTAGATTCATATTAATGTGTATACATTTTTTTCTTGATTGGCAAACTAAATAATGTATTTGGCGAAAATCTAACAATATATTTCAAGTTTTTCATGGATCTTTTGACTTTGAAGTAACAAATTAACAATTAATCAATAATTGGCAGTTTCTGTATTAGTAACTAAATAAAAAAACCAGCATTAATGAACAAGAAATATACATTTGGAATTATTTATTTATAGACCCCGAAGATAATTGATTTAACATAAGTCAGAACTACCCATTTGCGGGTGAGAAAAATGTATAAAAAGCTTAGTCTGCAGTCTAGCGATTTCTCTGTTTTAGAAATTCGTCTCCTTGAACTCCTTGGATTGCAGTACGGGGGAAATGGCTGCACCATCGCCGTTGACATTGCCATTGTCCTGATCCTCTCCACCGCCCACTGTGTAGGCCATCACAGTGGCGTGATCCAGTTTTCCAGGTAGAGCCACGAAAGCGCTGCTGTCCACCACCCGCTTCCTGGCCGCTCGATGCTGCATGCGATTAAGCTGCACCTCCCGCTTGGCGCCATCTGGTCCCGTTGATAGTTTGTAGAACAGCTCCCGCTGCTCCAGGGTCTTTCTCCTCGCCGAGGTTATCATCCGGACGAAATCGATGAGCAAGTGGCAAAGTCTCCGGGCCGAAACGCAGGGCGAGAAGGTGCCGTTTATGCCGTAGCTGAGCAGATCCTCCAAGCGGTACAGGGTGAGAGCATGCCTCTGCGGACCGGTCACCAGGGGCAAGCCCGAAATGGACTTTGGAATGCGCTGAAGGGCCACAGGTGGTGGCGGCGACGATACCAGTCCCTGTCGTGGTTCGATGAGCGTTTGGGAACGCATGTACTTCGGCCGACTGGGCGCATTGCTGGGCGGACTGCCCGCCTTGGACTGACGAGCGGGTCGCGTGGGTGGCGTCGAGGGATGCAGGCGGGCATAGATCGCAGATGCACTCTTGTTCTGACGTTTGGGAGCCAGAATCGCCGGTTTACCATGCCCCGTCGCCGACTGCATCTTAACATCCGGCGTCCAGGCCTCGGCAAATTTGCCCACCACGGGATCAAAGTTATCGCTAATACCATCCGAGGTAAGGAAAACGATGTCGCCGCGTTCGATGCAACTCATCGAGAAGGTCAGATTGCTTAGCTCCGGCTTGTTACCATCGGCCGGTCCAAGGGCGCCCAGGGCGTCGCGCATGTCCCGCATGGAACTGATGTCGTGGGATGCCTGCGTCAGTTCGCGTACGCCGTGCTTCTTGGAGTACACATATCCCAGGGAATCGCCCACATTGCACGAGCAGACCACATACTTTCCTGGTGCTCCGTCCAGCGGCAGCACCACGGCAATGGTCAGCGTGGACAGGGCTCCTCCGACTTCCAGGATGCAGCCGTGTCCCTCCCAGAGACTGCGCAGCAGGCTGACGAACACCTCCTGGGTGGTAGTAGCCCGGCACTCCAGTGCCTGCCCAAACACAGCCCTATCCAGATAGTCCAGACAGCCGTGTACAGCGGAGCGGGCAGCCAGACGGGCGCCATCGCCCCAATTGACGCCGTCTGCCATGGCCATGGCTGCTGAGTCCCCACGCACCACCATGCCGTAGCAGTCGGCGATGGGATTGCCCATGGGCTCCTTAGTCAGCATGTTGGTCTCGTACAGAGACACTGAGATTCCATACGCGAAATCGCACTCCATGCGCCAGTTCTCCACGCCGGCGATCGCAGCAGTCGGAGCAGACGGAGCAGAGCCACCCTGGTTGCTCACCGCCTCGCGGAGCAGACGCTCCCGCTCCGAGTTGCAATCCCCGTCCGCCGAGGTCTCAGTCTTTGCATTCAACAGGTTTCTGTTGTTCTGATCACCGCTGGCTTTGCCAGCATCGCCGCTGCCACCAGAAGCCGCTGCCAGATTGGCTATACTGCTCTTGGAGTTCTTGCGGGATCGCATTCCCGAGGCAGTCGTCGATCCGGATGGTTGGTCCACACTGCTCTGTCTCCGGGATCCGGTTGGCGGGCGTCCGAATTTGCTGGCCAGTCGGGTGGAGTTCTGTGCGGTAGCCTGAACCGGAGGTGTACTCTTCCTCACACCATAGCAATCATCGTTCTCCTGCTGCGTGTCTATGAAGTCAATGTCGTCCGCAAAACTAGTGCTCAGGTGAAGCTTGGAGCGCTTGATGCCGGTGAGTCCTTCGTCTGGTCCTGTGCAGGCGGCTGTTATGGAGCAGGTGCCAGCCTCGTAGGAGTCCAGCTTGAGGACGGGCATGTCTGTGGGATTCTGGCCATTGTAGATCTCCGGACCATCCACAAACTGTCGCTGCATGCGCCTGAAGGTGGTAACGAAAAACGGGTTAGAAACTACCCTTTAATTTCAGGTTTCTATTTACTCACCCCTCCAGATACTTGGTTATGAAGCTGCCATCGTCAACCTCGTGCTCACTGGCCCGCCGGCGACCCTCGCGAGGCTCTGCGATGAAGCTCAACTGGCGGAAGTAAGTGGTGACCTTCTGGCGCAGCGATGGCATCTTTACTGAAGACACTCTCTCCTCCTACTCGCCCCCCAATTAGGGATTCTGTTAATTGCCCGAGATGGAGGGGCAGTAATTGGATGCTGTGGAGAGCTGTCCAGTTCGTTCACCTCATCAGTGGCAATTGTTGTGGGAGTTGCGTCACTCCAACCGACTCCAGCCTCCGAACCCTGGAAAGAGAGTTTAATTTAGAGCTTCATTTAATTATCAATAAATTATGCAATTAAACGGGGCAGGGCAAACACGAAAAGAATTAAGAGCAAATTGCAGTGGCAGCCGCATAACTGACATTGCTCCTAATGACGGGATGTGCTTTTTAGTTGCCGCAGGCTATGCATCCTTCCCCTGGCCACACAAAACCCTTCATGCTCATCAGGATCAACAGCTGTAGCTGGAGAAGGAAGCCCACCCTGAATGGGCTTTCAGTCAACTCATTGCGAATGCAGGAGACACTGAAGCGGACACAGAAATCCCATCCTTCCTTCGGGCTTCGGATGACATAGCTTTTAGCAGGGCACTCCGCATGTGTGCTGAGCCAGTGATGCCAATTTTTTAGTCGTTTTGGAATGATTTAAAATTACCCAAATATTCCTAGCTTCGTGTTTAATTCGTTCAAAAGTTCTATTTTATTTTTATGTTATGACTAGACATCGGACTATATGGGAAAACTGTTTTTAAATCCATAAATCTTTGTGATAGAAGCAAATTACAGTTTGAAGTTAAATTGGTCTTATTATAATTTAATGTTTATAGAGCTTTGATTTAATGTCAAAGATTTTTGCATATTAATTAATGACTAGTCATAACACAAAATTAAAGTTAAGTCACAAAAATAAAATATAAAAACATGTACCATAAGAAACACCATAAAGTGGAAATAGGAAAACCTATTAGAAAATGTATATACAGATTCTAACTAAAAACTACTTGAAATATTAATATTTTTATGATTTGAAAATCTTGGTTTTGAAAATAATGTCATTACATTGTTTGATTTAAGAAAGAGTTTAATAATTTGTAAAATATTTTTTAGACTTTCTAGAGGTTAACTTGTATTAGTCCTGAGTTTTTAATAAATGATTGTCATCACTGATGATGTGATGATTAATGAATGGACAATCCAACTGCCTGGGGTGACCTGAAACTCCAGCAGATGTTGGGTTTTCAAATTCTGACAGCTTCAAGTTCTGTTTCATCGGAAAGATGATATCATATGGGGGAGAAGAAAAGGGATGAAAAGTATGCTGGCGTTAGGTAGGGTATAAAATTATTTAAGTCTCCGCAATCGCAGACGACTTTTAATTGCCATATTAGAACATTTAACTACCTCAAACAACCTCATAGACAATGCACTACCACAACAGTTTTGTCACGGCGAGATTACAATGGATTGCAAAAACAATTAATGCTAATCTTCAACAGCAATTTCTGTGGAGATGCTTTTCTCTAGACGCTGTACACAAAACGATTTATATAAATGATAAACAACAACAAAAGTCGGCTCTTGAAGTAGTTTCGTTGGCGGGGGCAATTATTTAAGAAGACTTGTTTGTTGTTGCTAAAAACAAATACTCAAAACATATAAATATAAATAAAACAGACAATCAACCACTTTAATTTATGGCATGAGCACTTCAACTGACAAATGAGTGGTCCATTGAAAACAATGTCGATTAACGGTAAATAGTGTGGGAGGGAGCGCCTTTCTATGCGATTCTCATATAGGGCACTTAATGGCACGCAAAAATCACTTAAACCTTGAACCAATTGGTCTTTTGATCGAGTTTCACTGAACTTGGACTTTACTCACGAATCAATCAGCGGGTAATGTAATTCAATTGAAATCTGATGGCCACAAGATGCGCGATTTCTTGGCAATTGCTGGGCACTGATCTGATTGCCACCACACCCGCATTCCTTGTGGCAAAGCATTAAAATCAAATTAACCCAAATAGCCATTAAGGGCGGGAGGGGAGCAGACTTCCCATTACCATATCCACTTTTCCAAGATACAAATCAAATGAATTGAAAAGTCAGAAACGAGACAAAGTCTTTCGGTGGGCAAAAGGGGTGCACAGAGTGCGGGCCATGTATAGAGTGCAGATGTGGTCATATATCTCTCTGTGGGTTGTGGTTTGTGCATTGAGGCTCAGCCGGCTGTGTGCACTCGATGCCGGTCCATGCCAATCAATCCGGATGATTGAAAAGCCCACCTCCACACCGCCGCAAAACAATTCAATTTGGCCGCAACAATGTGCAATTTGCGATTAAATGTGCAGCCAAAGAGATTACGACTGCACCACAAGAGCCAACATTCAAGCTCGGCCGCAAGCGTTTTGTAGTTCTCATCTGCCACTGCTCCAATTTCTTAATGCCATCTCTTTGCGCATCCACGTCAATCAGAGTCATCATCAAGATCATCATCACTTGACACACAAAGGGCATCTCAATTCGCTGAGCTCGTTCCGCTGATGAGAATTCATTGTGGGTGCTGCTCACATAATATTTAAGATCTGGCTATTGTCCACCTGACAGCACGTGCCGGTAAAATGTATGGATTATAATGAAAGCTAAATAATCAGAAACAAGAAATCAACACATTCAAGAATTTCTTAAAATCCCGATCTACTGAATTTTAAAACGGGGAATCATGCCAATTTTAGCATTTTTTGTATTAAGATAAGTACAGGCAAATTAATAAGCTTTGATAGTTACTCTCTAAGAAATATATTGCTTAGTTATGCAGTTATGCCCCAACATTCCAATATTTTGATTGCGGATAGCGTATGTCCAATTAAAAATGTGTCTCACGTATACTGTTATTAGCCATTAATATAATTCTAGAAGCCATAATACTTATCAAATGATTTGTGACATTAAAAACACACCCCCAAACTGAACAAAACATTTCCTAAGGCGTGTGCCGCAATCTATCGACAATTTTTGATGGGATTTCGGGACCATCGAAATTTTCAACACTCGAAACTAATCAAGCGTGGAAATGTGGAAATCGTAACGAGGCAGTGTGAGATCATTGTGCAAGATCTGGACTAAACGGTGTTTGGTGTAGTAGTGTATAAAAAGCAACTGTGTAAATATTATCGAATGTGGCACACAGAGATCTACCTCGTGAGTCGTTCCAAATTTGTTTATGCTCGAAAACCAAAATAAACCATTCGGGCTTCCTCCAAATATAAATAGTTGCGCTGGCCTGTACTATTGGCTGCCACCCATCAAATGTCTGAAAGCATTCTGCGGTTTTGGCTTGAAAGATTTATTTGGCGTGGCATCAAAACGCATTTCCTGCCGACTCTCAAAACATTCATCTTTTCCGAGTTAATCAGATGTGCGGAATTTCTGTTTACCCACTGGGTTAATTAGATGTGGAGGTTTCTCTGCTCCCCAGAAAGAGATTCTTTTGAGTTCGTCTGGCTTTGTGCATATTAAAATGTGTGTGGATTTGAGAGGGAGACAGGCCAAAGCCCAAAGTAAACAAGTCTTCTGCAAACACACCCATGACTGGCTGACTTTGGATGCACTTAAAACATTTTGAAAGCCACGACGAAGTGACAAGTTGTCTGCAGATTATGTGCTACATAGTATAGTATACTCTGGAATCTCAAGGTGCAGTTGGTGGGCCAAAGCCAAAGTCAAAGCGAAAGACTTAGACCAAGTCAAGTGCAGCTGCTCAAAGCAGTTTTTGTGTGTTTCTGTTTGGGCCAGACAACAGACAACAAGAAGCTATAAAAGCAGCGACACGAAAGTGAAAATTTGTAGCATTCATTGCGTGTTTTCTTCGAAAGAAAGTTGAAGGCCGTTTAGCTGAAGATGAAATAGAGCTGTTTGCTTGTTTTAAAGCTGCCAAATATTTCGAACATTTCAAGCAACCCATTAATCTTTTTTTTGCCGAGAAATATCTCTAGTTTACGGGGTAATTTATGGCGTCAGTAGTAAAGTCATAAAACGCTGCTCTCTATTGACATTGTTTCCTATATGTATCGATATTTAAAACTTTGCTGTCTTACTTTTATATTGATAGACTTAAACTTAATATTCCCTGAAAAAGCATGCTAAAATAACGCTAATTAATATATAGTTCTATTTATAAGTTTGAATTTTTTGTAATCTCCGTTATATTATGTATTGGTATAAAACAGGTTTTATAAACCTCAGACCCGGAGTCAAGTGCCGATCCAACCGCAGTCAAGGCAATCTTGGAAAAATAAACACAAGCTTCATTTTCATTTCCTCATTAGCTGTCTTTTTCCATTCCATTCCAGGCTTATCAAGCTTTATGAAAATAAAATATTAAGTGGCAAATGCATTAAGCACAATGACTGCAATTTACATGCATATATAATAGGATGGTAGGGTTGATTCCCCAAAACCCCAAATACCTGCATTCTATGCAATAAACTGAAAAGCTTTTGGCTTAAAACCTTCCCGCAGTATTTAAACAGGTGTTGACTCATTGGACAAGCTGTCAGCTGCATAAATAATGCATTAGACCCGCCCCCAGGGGCGGAAAATACCCCAATGAGCCAAGTTGGGCCAACTGGGCCTGGGGCTTCATTAAAATCTGGCAATTAAAATTTTTACATAATGTAAACCGCACGAAAACAATCACAAAGGAGTTCCTTCACCTCTCGACACGGCATACATGGCATACATGGCATACATGGTGTGATATATGGAAAACAAAGGAGAAGTAAAGGGGGTCTCTTCCCGGTTCCCGAAACATTTCTTATAAATTGCGACCTAATTGGCGTGTATTTCGCTGTGCGTGGTACGCCTCATTTCCTGTTGCAACAATTTGCATTACTGGTGCTGGTGCTGGTGCCTGTCCTCAGTTTCAGTACCAAATCTCCCCATCTGGAAACGAATCTATTACTGCAACTGCAACTGCAACTGCATCTGAGTGCCATTCAATTGACAGCGCGATGAAACGGAAAGTTAAGCTTCCTTTGGGGGTTGTAATGTATGTCAAAAGTTGAGAAACATCCTTTGTTTTATGTGCCCTCCATGTGCGTTCACACTTTCCAGCAATGCCAGGATCCAAATGGGGATTCACTTAAGACCCCTCACCCCCCAAATCGCACACAGTTTTCCCCACTGCATTTCCGCTTGCATGTTTTCCCTTGTCTTTCCACTTTTGGGGTCGCGCTACTTGGCCCGGTTTTTGGCAACGAACAAAAACTTTATTTGAAGCAGTTGCCACAAACCGAATGCAATAAACCAAATGTGGGACAAGGCGAAAATTCAGGCTTAGAAAAGCGATATCAAAGGAGTGCCCATCAGGTCTTCGGCTTTGGCTTGAGTTTAGAAACGAGGGTAAATTACTTTTTGGGTTTGCTTTTCTTCCAGTAAGCAATCAGTAAATTGTCTTTATACTTCAAATACCAAAAGCCTTTTCTATGATTGTTTTTTAAATCCATATAATTACGGAAAAGCTCTTCCTGATTGGTGGTTTTTTTCGACTTTGCAAACATCTGGCGGAAAATGTAATAGCATCTGGTTCCACCAACTATCCCCATCACACATTTGGCAAGCCCACAAAATAATTTGCATAAATTGAATAGAAGTCTTCACATGCCAGCCAGGTAGCGACAGCTGTCGTCGATTTATGTAGGACTTATATACGACTAATCCTGCATGAATAAATTAAATGGGAAGCCTCAACTAAGACTGTCTGGCTGGGGATTGGTCTTGGGTTTGGCCTTTGGTTAAGTCTTGTTGTCAGGCATACAAATAAGCTGGATCAAAATCCTGGGGGCTGGCACTCTATGCAAATCTAGAAAACCAGTAACCTGTTGGTGTAGGACGAAGAGGGGCCAGCGGGTTTTTTTGAGCAGGAACCGGGCACTCAACTCACATATTAAATTAAATGTTGATGGCAACAAAAAAGACAATTCAAACGAAGTCAAGGCCCGGGCCAAAGAACTGTGGCAAACAAAGAAACGCCAACTTCTCGACTGCCCGCAGCAATTGAGCAACCAACGAGCCACTTTGTCTGCCCCTGATACCCGGCCCACTTCTCACTTCCCAGCCCCTGTCCACCCATGACATCTCTACCCCACCTTGTGCTACCACCAGGTAATGTTGCAGTCTTCGGTGTCAAATGGCTGTCCACCGACGGACTTCTCAATGCTCCGTTTGCTACGTTTTTTTAGGTGTCTTGTCACAGTACAGTAGACAATCAGGGGAGTGAATACTGTCAGTGTATTTATTTTTTACTATTTTCAGTTTAATCTAGTAAGATAAGAAAATACCAAAAGAAATTAATAAGCGAATTTTGGCGATAGCATTTATTGTTCTAAACATTTTTACGAATTTATCTATTTCTGTTCTTTACTAAACTATTTGATAAGATACATATCTATAAGTTATTTTAAGCTTTTAAGCCGAGACAGACATGATCGATTTTTGTTAAATAATTCACAATGAAACTGCATAGTTATGTTCTAATGAACATTTCCCCAACTCTAGAAATTACATAAATTAGTTGGAACCCTTCTGAAATGTTTCCCAAAGTTTTCTTTACATCCTATAAACAATTTAAAAATTGCTACTATAAACAATTACTTTAAAGTCGTTTTCTTCAATTTCCCTTAAGAAACAATTCCGTCCAAAAGAGTTACTACTATGGGAGACCTTGCAGCGGGTTAAGTGACCGATTGGCTGTCAGACCCCCTCAACACCCACTTTCCCCTCTACCAATTCTAGTTTTAATTTGAATTTTATTCCGTTTCGTGTGGTGGCCAAACGATTTGGTGGTTCGCTTAGTCATATCACTCGGCTGACTAATCATTGGAGACGGCGTTCGCTTGGGGAGAAACCTTAAACCCCAGATATACCCCCTTCTAATCCGAATTCTCTCAGCGTAACCCCCAAACCTCGAACAACTGCAAATTCAATGAACTTTTGCTGCTGTTGACTTTGCTGATTAATTGGAAATTGGCAAAATGTTATTTATTTTTATGTGGCTGGTCTATCGCCAACGGATGCCTTTCATCAAAGGCAAAGAGTTCTATAAATGTTCCTAGCAAAATTGGTTTTAATGAGGCGGAAACTTTATCAGCTGAGCTTGGATTTTTATAGAGAAGGGAAGGAGAAGCCACTTATTGGCCACCGAGGCTGGTTTAAACAAACATGGAAATCCTATACTAGGACAACTTCTTCAGTCGCTGGCTAATGCATTATAGAAGAATGAACTCTTTCAGGCACGGCCGAGCAAACAAACTTCAACTCGCCCGGACCAACTGCGTCATAAAAGAGCCATCGGCAGCGCCGTTCGCTTCCACCGACCGAGACAACAAAGGATGTTGGACGAAGGAAAAAAGGAGACGGAGGCGCTGGCGCTGGGAAACCCACCAGTTGTGGATGGAGTCCAGACAGAACAACTTCATGCGACCCCCATCCCCTGGGAAAAAGCCAGACGGCAACAAGGAGTCTGTGTGCCTGCTCGAAATAAAAGAAGCCGGCAAAAAATATAAAATGGAGAAACAAAATATTTGCCCAATGTGCATGCATAGTTCAAAGTTAGTTGCCAGGAGGAGAACTATACCACCAACATCACCAACTACACCGCATTCCCCACTACTTACAAGAAGAGTTGTGAAAATTCTCTGGTTGCCAAGGGAAAGTGATTGAATTCTTGGGGATTTTGTCGGGCGCCAGTTGAAAAAGAATTTTTGATATAAATAAAGGCAGAACCAGAGGGCTGAGCTTGGAATGGAAAGATTTTTGGGTGCATTAAATAAAAGGGATATGTTAAAAGTTTTTTAAATAAAAGATGAAAGTTTGATAATGATTTATTTGGCAAATAATGCTTTACGCACATTAAGCTGGAATTGTACTTTAATATTGGATTAGAAAATTAAAAGGCCTTTGCATTAGGCATAAAGTCACCCTTAAAATGAGTCATGCTTATTTAAGCTGTTTATTGCGGATGGTTTTACCACTGATCCTGACAACTTAAATATAATTCTCCGATTTCCTGAAAATTAAGTTCTCATTTCCGGCACTTTTTATCCAATTTTCCCATTTTAAAGATTACATATCTTAATGGCTTTAGAGCTTTGTCAGTTTCAAATCGCAAAAAGAAACGTAGATAAGTTATCTTAAAAACCAATTTTTTACTATAGGCTGGTATACTGAAATTGTTAACCATTCTGATGCAAACTCTTTGAAAGTGTGGTAGATAATCCCCGTCTTCAGTTGAAGTTCACCCCAAATAGATAATTCTAGATACGTTATCTGCATCTAGACTAGTCCCTGGATTCTAAATTCAGTTCCCCCAAAATATCTGACCGAGTTGTCCCCTTTAATTTACAGCTTATATCCGGCATGTTTTTCCCCCGTTTTATTTTTGCCGCAGTTTGCGCAAGAAGTTGTGAAAAGGGCAGAACGAGTTGAAAGTTCCCATTGGCATGCCCAATCCCAATCCCACCCATCCCATTCCCAGCACGCCTCCCATTTTCCCCTTTTCTCCAATTCCCTGCCAGGCGCCATCACGTGTCGGCTTTTCTCCAAGGTATTGGGCTTCGTGGAGAATCGATTTTGTGGCCTGACGAGCCTGTTATCCTTGGAGTGAGTGCTTTTGGCTTGTTTCAGGACATCAGTTTGGCCCATAGCAATTGCCTGCTGCATGACCGAAATGCTCAAAATAAAAATATGCTAGGTAAACTGAGAGAAAAATTAATTCCATAATTTGCATTGAATAAGTTTTTTAAGGTCCTTTCAATTACTTAAATAAATTTGCTCTAAAAATATAGGTTGGACTTAAAAGTTGGTTTCACTAGATCCTTTTCATTCCTTAAGCAACAACATAAAATACTTAACAAAAATATAGAGTTCATCACTACAAAAAAAAAATTGTTCTAGTGATTTGTTGTCAAATTAATACTAAAATCTTTTTTCTCAGTGTTCGAGTAGGAGTGAGTGGAAAAGAGAAAAAGGAAGCTACCATCATATGCAACTGAAGTTGGCAGGCGAAAAGGTAAAAAAAATAAGTGACTGACATTATAAGTGGAAAAGTTTTTGCATACTTTTCTTACTGCATCACAATCAACTTCCTGGCAAAAACATCAAAATACAATAAATTAGCAAATGCTCCCCATTTATAAATTATCGCTATTTTTCACAGTCGTTCATATTACTTAGTTTATAATTATATGGGTAACGAAGCGATAAAATACGCCAAACGAAAAACAACACCAGTTATTAGCACAGTTTCGAAATACGATAAAGCTCGAAAACCGGTTATTGCATTAACGAAAGCTGACGTTTTTCTGTTGTTTTTGTTTTTGTTGTTGTTGGAGCAGCTGAGATTTCGCAGCTGCCCGTGAAGTTGAAAATGAAAATAAAACAAACGACAGGTGAATCAACAGAGAGGTACAACCACCCACCCCACCCACATTTTCATGGGACAAAAAAAGGAAAATAAAGACGCAAACCCAGTTGAATGGAAAAATCAAGGAAACACACACGAAAACAAAAGCACAAAACAAAAGGGAACAAAAACAAGGCGAAGGCGGCAAAAATGTTTTGGGGGTCACAAAAAACCCAAAAATCAATAGAACTTTGAAAATGATATGCATTAACTTACAATAATTGTGTCTGTGTATCGGCTCCCCTGTTTTTCCTGCTTTCCTTTTCTATTCTGGGTTGTTTTCTTATCGCTGCTTTACATATGTTGGCGCCACTCACAATGTAAAATATGTAAGTGCGTGCGTTCCGTTGGTGGTGTGTATAAATATTTAACAATTCCGGGGTAGTTGGGTCCAGAACTTTGCCTTACTGAATGGAATTTGGGCTAAATATTAGGTTTACTCGAGTTGCACAGGCCAGTTTCCGTATTGCACTTTGAGTTTGATTGGTTGCCAATTGGATTCACTACGAAATCGAATAGTATAACTAACGTTTATTTCACTCCCTTACGCGCAGACCGAACGTTTTTGCTCCGATTTCAAATTCGAAGTGAGAATAGTCCAAAGCAAAAGAGAGACGATGGCAACAAGACCAATGAAAATAAACTAACGCTTAAAAAAAATACCGCACTTTATTCAATTTTAAACGGATCACACTTCATTGCAACAGCGTCATTTATTTTAAAGACACTACATGCAGAATTTTCGACAATCGTATGTAACGCAGATAAAGTTAACTTTTCTGATCAGATCTCCAGGAGAGTAAAAATCTGTCTGTCTTTCTATTGGTTTCAGTATTCTTAAAAATTGATTAGTCAAACCTCATTCTTCTTTTGAAATTGCAGCACATTGAACGTTAAAAAATATTTACGTAAACCAAATTTTAAATTTGTTGTTTTAAAGCATGTAAGGCATTAATTTTATTAAAGTGGAACGACTATGTCATAGGTGTTCTTAAAAATTTCATCAAAAAAATGTGGAACTTAACAAATACCTAGAATGGAACCTAAGATTAAATTGGAATTAACGAAAGAGCTTTATTTGACAATACTGTCTCATTAGGTACCAAAATTTTTTTATGCATGTGTCTTTCTACTTATATAGGTAATGTGTTTTTGTGGAGCTGAATTAAATTAATAAACAGTGTGAACACTCTATCATTGGCTATTGCCCAGCTCAATAAAGTTGGCAGGCCATGTTTAGTAAATTTTGTGGTATATTTTGGCGAACATAACGGCAAATTCAAGCGCCAGCAGTGCGGTCACATTGTCGAATTTCTTCAGCATTTCGCGGGATCTGTAACTTTTATAGGCGAATAGTTGCATTTTCGCGGTTTTACAGTAAATAAAGTGTTATTTTAAACGATAATCAATTGGTTTTCTGCCCCTTGCTTTGAAAGCAATATTTAAAATCGAGAAACAAGTAAGTTTAAGCACAATTTTTACAGTTAAATGCCGATGCAGGCACACACTCACACAAACGCAGCCAAAACAGCGACACGCGAATTTGCGAATTTCTTTTTGGCCCGTTCTGTTTTGTTGTTTCCCTTGCTGCCATGTTTTTTGCGCTAAACATTAATTAATTGTCGCAATTTCTGTTTCGCTATAAATATGCGAAACGTGCTGTGGTTATTTGCGCTACCTAAATGGCCAATTGCGCTTTTGTGCCGGTGTTGGTGAAGTATTGGTGTCGGTGACCATGTCTGTCTGTGTATGTGTGTTTGTTGGCGCGGGCGATTGGCGGGCAATCACACACACATGCATATTGTTTTTTGCAAAGCGTTTATGCGACATTCGTTTTGATCGTGTTTTTAATAGTTTTTGCCTGTAACAACAAATGATTACTTGCTATGTAAATTTTAAAAAACTTGCCTGTTATCCTTAAACTTTTGTAACATAAGATGATTTGTCCTGACTAAGTAGAGTTTATACTCAGAAATATCAATAATTCCCCGCTTTTCGCGAATTGTGCCTTCGCGTAAACGCGTAAAAGAGCGAAACAGACACAACGCACATACAGGTGAATGAACCTTTTTGCTTGTTTTGTAATCGCAATTTGTTGCTGGGCCACCGAGTTGAGTGTGAATTTTGTAATTGTTTAGAGCGCGGGAAAACCAAGTACACACATGTTGTTTTTCCTCGGCATTTTCTTATTAGCAGCTGTGTGTTCCTCAGCTTATTTCTTGATCCTCGTTTTCTTATTCTCAGGGCCTTTTATTTCTCCTGCAAAAGCTCGCGTAAGTGTCGCGTTTTCTCGCCAATTTTTTTGGCGAGTTCATTTGCATGTTTGCTTAATTTGTTTTCACAGCAGCTCCGCAAATGTTAATGAACCTTCCCGGCTGACAATAATTCGCAATACAATTTTTACAGAATTTAAAGCTACATGAAATTTCATAAATGTATGCCCATCGGTTATTAATAGACTCCATTGCGATTTACACAAAAGAATTTAAACTGTATCTGGATATGCACAGGAATGACATTGTAATGTCAAAAGAAGTATTATTATAATAAGTAACATACGCCGAAAGTTGTTTATTATCTATTAAGACTTACCTGATGGCCGTATAAGGATATAAACACGTTGAGTAAACTTTTTAAAAGAAATTTTTTTTGTATTTAAATAAATTGTTCATGTTTTTGTTGTTTTTTGTTTTGTTTTGTTTTAAGGCAAAGCGTTTGCATAAAAATACATTTTTATACTTCTAGCATATTGTTTGGTTTGTGGTGGCCTCTATACAAGTACAATACGTTTTGTAAACCATTTGTTCTAAAGCACTAAATGATCTCATTACATTATGTTCGTATTTAAACGGTACCCATGGAGCTCCAGAAGTTCTCGTAAGGTTGTACAATTCATTATGCCGTTGTGACAAGCCCTAAAATTCTACTAAACCAACTGGAGGGATGGCTTTGAATCGGGGAAACTAAGCGTAAGCTGGAGGCATCTCACGTTGCAATCCCCTCCAAGCAAGCTTTTCTATAAACATTCCAAGCAGTTGTTACTTTATTTTCTACCTGAATTTTCGGACATCTGTATGCCTCCATTTCTCCGGTTAGTTTGTCTAATTTCAAGCAACTGTCACACCCAAAAAACTATTTTTGGGCTGGATTAACGCTACGCAAGCGAACTGTTACTAGAAGCACTTTAAAGCCAAAGCCTTTTGTTGGAATTATGATTCCCATTTCGCTCGTCTAGTGTAAATAAATGTCTCACATTTTACATGTTACATGCTCATGTAGCTAGGATTAGTGGGGTGTTTAGAGTCGTGTAGAAATAGGGTCAAATCGAATGTATACAAAAAGGTTTAATTGTAAATATAGAGTGTAAATTGAATTTACAATTGGGTTAAGTTAAGATAAGTTAAGTACATCGTACAATAAGAATAAGTTCAAGTTTGAGTTGTATAATTTGTGTGTGTGTATATATAAAGAACAAGGCAATTGAGTTTTTAGTTTGGTACATTTCCAACATAGCTAACTAATATGAAGAGTAAGAGTAAGAGTACATAAGAGTAAGGGGTTGCATTTCCAAAGGTCTTCAGTTTGTAATGTAAAGTCTTTAAACCTTTAAAATTCTCAAATTCTTGAAGATAAATCAATTAAATAAGCTGAAATAAGTTTGTGTGTATTGTAAACATTAATGTGGTCCTCTAAATTATTATTATTACATTACAAAACTTGTGCCTTCGGAAGCTTTTACCAAATAAGTTGAGTAAGGTTGTAGATCCAGTTAGTTTGAAAGTGAATTCAGAGCAGGGCTGGGCGTTGCCTACAGGATGTACTTGCCCTTGCCCCGGTGCTCCGCTTGCCGCGTCGACGAGACCGCCGCCAGGAGGAAACTGGAGCTGCCGCCACTACTGGTGCCGCCGTGGGAGTGGGTGCTCCCATAGCTGCCGTAGCTCTCGCAGCTGCCCAGGCTTCCGTAGCTGGCTCCATAGACGCCGAGCGGCAAGGCGTTTAGCTAAATCATGAGCGCCGAGAAGGGGTTGTACCGCATGATCTTGGAGAGCAGGATCCACAGAACGGAAGTGATGGCGCACAGCACCACTCCGCCCCATCCCAGATCAAGGCTCCAAGAGGTCAGGAAGATGCGTGCCCCCAGTAGCGGCTTGGCCATGATGGCCACTCCTCCTGGTCGCGCCACAATTCCATCCACGGTTCCATCGTAGTCACTGTCCAGCATTGGACGTCCCTGCTGCCGCTTGAAGTGGATGATCATCAGCGTGAAGAGGGCGAAAAGAGCTGTATAAAAAGGCAATTAAACCTCAGGGATCTAAAAATAGGTTAAATACAGACTTACCCGCCAGTAGATACATCACCCCTGTGATCAGTATGGCGCTGATTTGGCGCTGGCAAACGCCAAAGGCTCCCACAAGAGCAGCACTGCCCAGAATGATGAGGCAGACCAATGAGCAGGATATGGAGAGATTTTGCATTCCTATGGGAAATCACTGATTAACGTTTAATTTTGTTTAGGAATAGGTTTGGATTAAGAACTGTAAAAACGCTTATGACAGGGGCTATTTTACAGAGTGGTGTAGGGTGAGGAAAGGATGGCGAGCGTAAGCTTAGTTCAGATGTGTAATGATCAATGGAAGTCTTATTGACGAAATGTAATACATTTCATAAAATGTTGAATTGGAACTGCATCCTTTTAGCCAGCTTAAAGAGGTCTTCCCACTGTAGGTTTCCCCGCATAGGTACCATTTAAATCGTACGCTGTGCAGCCGCCCGTAAATTCATTGCGGCCCAGCTCAGCACTCCAATTTCCGCTCACAATCCGGGCAACTATTAAACCAATTACCCAATAGCGCCACAGCAATTAAATCCCATGTGGGTGCATGTGTTCTGTTCCACAGGAACACCATTAAAAGTACAGCAAAATGCCCGAGTGGCAATTGCGATTTTTAGAACGCAGGCAGGAAATGGAGAAAGGAGAAGCCAGCCACACGGTGACCCATATTGGAAGCCCCCAAAGCCGATCTCCCGTCCGCCGGCTTTTAGTTTACTGCCATGAGCAAGCAACTCTCGACACGAACATGTTTCATCTTCGGGGACATGAAAACTGCATGGGGAGCAGTGGACCATTATTGACAATATAGAAAACTGGAGGCAGCAAGCTCGGTTTGCTGCTGTGGTAATTACTTTATATAGACGCTACAAGGACAATCCGTGTTCCTGTCCCTGCTTCTGGCCATTGTTGGTGTCTGGCTTTTGCTTTTGTTTTTTGTTTTATCTACTGTGCTCCTCCGGGGATTTGTGGGCGCCCACATCTTTGAGCTGCTGCAAATGGGATTTGCGGTAATGACTTGTGAAATGTGCGACAGCTTGGAGCTAAAATTTTAAGCCAAGTGAAATGAATCGAGGTGAATCAGGTGGCTGTGGGTGGAGCTCAAAGCTGGTGGTGGTGCTGGTGCGCATAAATAGAATTAAGAAGAGTTTCTATAAAAAAAATTAACATTCGTGGTCTTCTACATACATCGAAAGTGACGTCTAGGGCTCAACCTACGGTGGAGATTGGGTTGTGGAATGAGGGGATGATAGTCAGGTATATAAACTGAAGATACGTAGGGAAGTGAAGAATAAATAATAGAAAGCTTGATCTAGTTGTGACCACTACAAAGTCGAAATTGGTGCGTAACAAGGATTTCTGTAAGCTGATAAATTGTATTACTAACATATATCAAATATAGATTAAGATCTGTATTAAGTACTCTCTGTCTAAAATTCATTCTCAATCCTAAATTTTCTCCCACAGATCTCCCTTTGATCACTAAATATGTCTGCTGAAGCCGAAGCAATGGTCACAACGGCCGCCGCCGATGTGTCATCACCCAGCAAGACAGTGGCCGTGGAGCCCGTGGCCGCTGATACAACGCCGGACAATGCTCCGGCGGTGTCCACCGAAGGAACCGGCAAGGCCGAGCAGGAACGTGCCGAGAAAATACTCAAGGGCAAGGAGCTGTTCAGCCAGGGATCGCGCAACTTCCTGGTGAAGAGTTACGACGAGGCTGCCGACGAACTCAGCCAGGTGTGCCAACTGTACGAGGAGGTCTACGGGGAGCTGGCCGACGAGCTGGGACAGCCCCTGCTGCTGTGAGTATGACGTTTTTATAAAAAACTTCTTTAACAATCAGTATATCTAATATTGAAACTTGTCTAATCTTTAATTTAAATTTTTAGCTATGCCAAGGCGCTGATTGCAATGGCCCTGGATGAGAACAAAGTGATCGACGTGCCTGATGAGGCCGCCGACGATGATGACGAGGATGTGGACGACGACGAAGATGAAGCCCCAGAAGATGGAGAGGCCAAGAAGGAGGACCTTAAGGAGGACAAAAAGGAGGAGAAGAAAGAGTCCAAGGAGGCCGCAAATGGAGCGAGCAGCACAAATGGCAAGGATTTGGACAGCATCAAGGAGACATCCGATGAGGCCGATTCCACCGGTGAAGCCGAAGCTCAGACCGATGAAAAGACCGCCAAGAAGGCGCCCACTGGCGTTGATGAGGTCAGCAGTAGCAATGGCGGCGGAGGAGCTGCCGTCAACGATGACGAACGTCCGAGCACATCGAATGGTGAAGTCACAGCTAGTTGCTCGAACGGAGTGGGTGCCGCCGGTGAGGAGGAGCCAGAAGAGGAGGAGGGAGTTAGCGGAAGTCTGCAGTTGGCCTGGGAGATCCTCGAGGCGGCGGCCCAGATCTTTACGCGCCAGGGCCTCAGTGGTCTCCCATATTTGGCCGAAGTTCAGACGGAGCTGGCCAACATTGAGTTTGAGAACGGCATACTCGAGGCGGCACGCGAGGATTACGGTGAGTTGGCTGCCAATGCTTGCTTCACAGTATCACTTATGGTTATCTTATCTCACAGAGAAAGCCTTGAAAATCCATGGAGAGCTGCCCACCAAGAACCGACGTGCTCTGGCCGAGTTGCACTATAAGATTGGGCTGACCTATCTGATGCAGCAACTCAACAAGGAGGGGGCGACAGCCCTGCGACACTCGAGCACCTTGATTGAGGAGGAAATTGCCGAGATCAAGGGCAAGGACGAGCCCAGCGAGAAGGACAAGAGCAACATGCTGGATCTGGAGGAGACCAAACAGGAGATTGTGGCCAAGATACAGGAGATAGAAGAGATGCAGGCTCAGGTGGGTCAGGGACAACTTACTAATCATGATTGAATGTACTCATTCTGATTAACTTTTAGACCATTGCCGAGGTGCGAGCTGCCCTGGACAGCTACATCAAGCCAATGAGCAGTGGCGATGCAGCTGCCGCTTCCTCCTCGTCTTCGTCGTCCGCCAATGGTGCCGCCAGCTGTTCGTCGTCATCCTCCAAGGGCGCTGCGGCGGCCTCCTCCTCGTCGACCATCAGCAGCAGCTCGGCCAAGCCCACAGACATCACACATCTGATCAAGCGCAAGAAGCCCGAGGATCCCAGCTCGGAGGCCGAAGCTCTCTGCTCGCCGGCCAAAAGGACCGCCGTCTAGGGCGGACATTCCAGTTGCCCAATGGCACCAGACCCACTCACAACCACAACCAACACACACACACATCAGCTACTTAAAACCACACCCACACGCATTCAACACCATTCAACTGTCCTATATTCCTCGATCCTATTTATGCTATTTGTTTGCTGTTTTCTACCAAAACTCTCTGTAAGTCTGTAAGTTTACAATCACAATTAGTGCTAAGTGCGTACATAAAATAATGTTTTGTATTAAACGAAAAAAACGAAGAAGTAAGGCAAAAAGTGTAAACAATAAATACGGGAGATTTCCCCAAGAAAGTTAGATCGGAAGGTGGATCTGGAGTGGAACTGGATTCACAGTCGGGCTGCCCCCGGATACGTACTCAGATGCGGCTGCAGAGTGACCTGTGACTCACTGTGCTGCCAGTCGTTGCGCTGCTCCTCTCCGCGGGCATTCTCCATGGATCCGGCCAGGTAGTTGACACACGGCGGTGCACCGCGCGGGAACTTGGGATTGCGACGCAGCTCCTGCAGCTGCTGAATGGGCAGGTCGATGCACAGCGTCCAAATGCCACCATGCATGGGCACCAAGAACACGGAGTCGCGCCGGAAGCGATGATCGGCTGCGTTGGGTATATGCAAATTGATATGTTGAATATATACATTAAGGGGTTACTCAGTTAAAAAAGCGGAAATTCTTTTTTTTTTAACGAAAATTACCACAATGTTTTAAACCCTCAGTATATTATCTAAACCTACATTATTAAATACATTATGATATTTGTATTATTAAGACAAATTGTTAAACAAAATCTTTTCTTAGTCTGATTTTTTTTATAACAAAACGGAACGATAGATTTAATTTAATAGCACAATAAACAAGTCTTTAATCAAAGGATTTACATAAATCATTTTTGACAAAATCAACATTTGTTTTTGTGGTTATAAAAAATAATAGTTTATTATCAAATACCACATTTTTTTGTAATGAAAAAGCGTCTCAATTTCCAAAGTGTATTTTTAAAAAAAAATTTTTTTTTTTTTTTGTAAAATTATTTTTGTCAATTTTAAGTTTAAACACTAAATGATTATATCTTTGTCAATTGTTGTAGGATCGACTTGAAATTTAAAGGACGTTTAATTAGAAAGATATACTTGAAAAATATGCAAACACAAATGTTTTAAACTTTCAAATTTTTTTCCAATCTAATGACTTACCCCTTTTGTCCGGCTTGAGCATGGCCACCTGGTCGTCGAGCAGCCACTCCAGGTGCAGACCCGACCGGTTCGAGTAGCGATCGAGGCTGTTGCGGTCCCACGTCACGTGCTCCCAGTGGTCGGTCATGATGGCGGCGCACAGCATGGCCGTGGCGCTGGTGGTCATCAGCAGGGTGACAAACAGGAAGAGCACCGGGGGCGGACCCATGCAGCAGCTGGAGCAGCAGGCGCTGGCCGCTCCGCCGCCGCCTATGCCCATGCCCATGCCCAGTCCCTCCATCTGGGAGCCCAGGGAGGTGGGTGAACCGCTACCACTGCCGCGACGCTGGATGACCTTGGCGCAGCTGTTCTGGCGCAGCAGGATGCTGTTGCTCCGCCTCAGACTCTCGACGGCGGCCGCCGCCGCAGCTGTGGTCGTGGGATTATCGAACTGCAGGGATCCTCCGACCACCGAGGAGGGGTGCTCGTAAATGCTGTTGTGCCGGCTGGGCGCGAAGTAGTAGCACGTGGTCTGGCGGTTCTCGACGCCCGAACTGGAGGCTACTGGCTCGCCGCCCTGGAGCTCCTCATTGCTGCTGGAGTAGACGATGGACTGCTTGAACTGGTTGGAGTAGCAGTTCTGCTTGAAGTTCTGCTGATGCTGATGCTGCTGCTGCTGCTGCTGTTGCACGTACAAGGCCTCGTAGTCGCAGTGATGAGGATTGCGATAGATGACCGGCCAGGAGCGCGTGGTCTTCGAGTTGTGGCTGTAGCGATGTGCTGCTGCTGCTGCTGCTGCTGCTGGTGCTGCTGATGCTATGGAATTGGGTTCCTCCACCAGCGGAGTGAGCTCATTGGGCGGTTCCGCCGGCTCAGGCAACTTGCTGTGCTGGTCCTGCTGCACGGAATGCTCCAGATCCGGATCCTCCTGCTGGATGGTGGTGGCCAGCTGGCGCTGGAGCACGTTTTTGGCTGTGCCACTGCCGCTGGCCAAGCTGAAATCCTCCTCCTCGACCAGAGTGGCCCCGCCTGGCGTGGAGAAAAGGCTGTTAGACGTGGACGACGTCGGCGGCGACGGTTGCGAGCGACTGCGTAGCAGGGCAAAGTGCTTGGGCTGCGGCTGTGCCTGTGGCTGGGGCTGAATGGCGCCGGATGTTGGCGACGTGATGCTCACTTCCGGTACACAGCGGGCGGTCACCTTGTACCGGCTGCCGCTGCCAACGGCGACGCCGACATTGACCCCGACGCCAACGCCGACGCCGACGCCGACGTTGCCCTTGGAGCGCATCAGTCATAAGTCGCTCGCGTCCCGCTTCTTGATCTTGTTCAGGCTCATGTGGTTCGTGGTGGTGGCGGTGGCGATGGTGGATTGTTGGATGTTTGCGGTTTCGGATGGATGTTGTATATTTATTGCTCTGGTTGCTGATGTTGCTGATGTTGCAGATGTTGCAGATGTTGTAGATGTTGCTGTTGTGTTATTGTGTGCCACGCCTAAGAGTCTACGTTGCAAAATATTACTTTGCTTGGGTGCCTCGACAAAAAATGTAAATATTACATAAATGTTGTACGTTTTTTTTAGTTTTATATATATATTTATAATATCTACTAGCAGCGGTTGTTGTTGTTCTTGCTCTTGCTGTAACTCTGTTCTGTTTTATTGTTGTTGCTTGCTTTTGTTGTTTTTGTTGTTGTTGCTGTTGTTTATATTGTTGTTGTAGTATTAGTTTTTTACTGTAGTTGTTTTTAGCTGTTGCATCGACAACGCTTGTTCAGTTTATATTTTGCATACCAATTTACATTTATGTTTGTCTTGTTTTGGGTTTTGAATTTGACTTTTGATTTTTCTTTTGTTCAGTTACTACGTTTTTGCTTAGCTTGAAGCTATAAAAAGAAAGAAAGTAGAAGAAAACAAATGTACAACATGAGTTTAAAGGAGAATCGATAGAAAGAGTCGAGAACAAAGACGGTATAGAAAGGAGTGTTCTACAAAACGGTGCGATGATAACAAACACTAAAACATCTAATGTGCAAAAGCAGCACTCTAGTGCAACTGATCCACAGGATGCAGCAAACTTTAATGACTATAATGTTTTACAGTGCGGTACAAGGCATTCACAGCCCATCCTTATAGATGGCTTTACAAATTTTCTCATATTATCTTAAATAAGTTAATAAAAGAATTTCCATCTGCAATCGCACTTGATTATCGTAAATTACTTTTCTAAGCACTTTTAAGCAAACACAGAGAACTGAAATTGAAATTATATATTAATTTTACATACAGATTAAAGTATTGCAAATTATGCGCAGCTCTGGAAAGTACCAGCGAATTTGCGCCTGATAAACCCAAATTGCATTTAAAATTCCAAATAGACCTCCCCCCAAACGGGTTTAATCTAATCCAAGTTCATAGTTGGCAACTCCTGGTGCCAAATATTCAGCTGAATTTGAATTGGCGTGGTGTACGAAATGGCCGAAGGATTCAATTGTGCGCGGTGCGACCTGAATCCGGCCACATACTCGTAGCCGGCGAACGGAAGAACAGTACGGCGGAAGAGTACGGAATGGCTGTTGCATATTACATGAGGATGGGCCAGAGCCCGGCGGATTTCCGGTGGCCCGACTACCGACGGTCAGTCCCGTGGTTCGCCACCCACAATACGTATACGCCCAGTGGTTCGCTACCCACATTCCGTATCCGCCCCGTGGCAAATTCAATTTGCTCCTTGTGCCCGACCACCCATCCAAAGTACCAAAGTGCAGCAGGTGTAATGTTAGATAGAGGTTAGCAACACCGCCACTCATATGCGGATGTTTATGCGGCCCCAGGCCAACCGCATTTTCACCCAGTTTCCCTTTTTGGCCACATCTGGCCTAGCTTTCCTTCTGACTCTTTTGTGGTCAGCATTTGGTATTGTCCATCTTTGCTTTGCTAATTTTAATTCAACATTTTCATTTGCTTTGTGCAAGAGAATTGTAACAATTTAGGCCAGGTAAGGTCAGTGGAAATTGCTCTCTGAATTTAATTAAACTGATGTTAAACATTGCTCTTAAAGCAATTATTTGCACACATTTACAGCGTTTAGGTGCATTCTGGTTACACATGGATAAGCATTTATAATTCTATGACCATTTAGCATTTAAATTTTAATGAGATTAATTTAAAATAAATTTAAATTGATATGTTTAAGGGCATTAAATTAAGCCTTTCATTAAACAGGCAATTAGTTTGATTTCTTGTTAGTATAATTATCAATATTGATTACCTTTAACTAATTAATTAATATTAATTAAATAAAAACCTAAGTCTAAATTATTTATATTTTTAAACAACAATTTAATAAGAAATAAGAGTGAACAATAAATTACAACTGATATATGATTACATTAAGCAAATATAATTACATTAAGCAAATGTTATAAACAAATAATATATAAACTTTAATTTGGATCAATAAACTTCATGTTATAAATCAAAAATGAAAACAATATAATTTGTTTTTATACAAGGCTTTTTCCTTTATTGTTTGGTTACACAAATCAAATTAATAAATAAGCCAAAGAAAATTAATTTAAGAAATATAATAGTTGGTTTAAGAACTCACTTCGCCTTAAACATTTTTTTCTTCATATGTGTGAACTTGTGCTATATGTTTCTAACGTTTTAAGCAACGCCTTCACGCCACACACTTTGAGAGAAGGCAAAAGTCATTTGCAAGTCATCCCAGATCACCTTGCCTGATTTTAGTCGCCAGGCACGTGCTTCCACTGTCATTCCAGCTCACATTTGCTCTAGTTTGTTTAATTTTTAATGCAAACGAAAGGAGAGACAGCCGACGCTGTTGCAGGCCCTCGTTAGCATAATTGATCGGCAGACACACACGTGCCTCCTGATGTCAGTCTGGTCAGTGGGTCACAGCCACAGCCGTAGCATCTGGAATTAATTAACACGCATGATGACCCTGGTGAGCCGGATTCGGGGTGAGGAATCTGTTTTGGCAGAGCAGGCACAGAAATAATTTGATTCGCCATGAGATGGCCACTTGACAGTCGGTTCAGCACTTCCCTTCGCAGTCAGTCGACTGAAAACTGGCCACACGGGGAAAAAACGATTCAATTTAGCTGACTGAACGAATTCATTTTGCATACTTCGTGGCAAGCCAAAGGATTTTTTTTGAAAATAAAATGATTCTTGCTTGATTCTTATTATACCCTTGCAGAGGGTATTATAATTTCAGTCAGAAGTTTGCAACGCAGTGAAGGAGACGTTTCCGACCCTATAAAGTATATATATTCTTGATCAGCATCACTAGTAGAGTCGATCTAGCCATGTCCGTCTGTCCGTCCGTCTGTCCGTCTGTCCGTCCGTCTGTCCGTCTGTCCGTCTGTCCGTCCGTTTATATGCAAACTAGTCTCTCAGTTTTAAAGCTATCTGCATGAAACTTTTCCAAAAGTTGTCCTTCTATTGCAGGTAGTATATAAGTCGGAACGAGCCGGATCGGACGACTATAGCATATAGCTCCCATAGGAACAATCGGAAAAATAAATGAAAAAAAATTATAACTTTGCTGTTTTTTAATTTTTTGTTTAGTTCTTCGACATATAATAATGGTTAAGTATTTCCGATTTACGGTTTAAATTTCATTAAAATCGGTCGACTATAGCATATAGCTCCCATAGGAACAATCGGAAAAATAATTGAAAAAAAATTATAACTTTGCTGTTTTTTATTTTTTTGTTTTGTTCTTCGACATAAAGCAATGGTTAAATATTTCAGAGTTATGGTTAAAATTTCATCAAAATCGGACGACTATAGCATATAGCTCCCATAGGAACAATCGGAAAAATAATTGAAAAAAAATTATAACTTTGCTGCTTTTTATTTTTTTGTTTAGTTCTTCGACATATAGCAATGGTTAAATATTTCAGAATTATGATTAAAATTTCATCAAAATCGGACGACTATAGCATATAGCTCCCATAGGAACAATCGGAAAAATAATTGAAAAAAATTATAACTTTGCTGTTTTTTAATTTGTTTTTTAGTTCTTCGACATATAGCAATGGTTAAATATTTCAGAATTATGGTTTAAATTTCATCAAAATCGGACGACTATATCATATAGCTCCTATACAAATAATGAAAATATATAAAAGAACAATCAAATAATTAAGCTGCAAATCTTCATAGCTTCAATGTTTTTAAACATATACGCAAGTAAATCATAATTTTAATGTTTTCAAAAATATTTAATTCTTGCGATAGCTGCAAGGGTATATGAACTTCGGCTTGCCGAAGTTTGCTTTCTTTCTTGTTTTTTGTTTTTTTTAGTGATTTATCGTAAAACGATGAATTCAATTGAACACGACTAGAAAAAATAAACTATATTTAAGATTAAAATAACTTATAATGGCGTTGATTTATAGCCATAATATTCAAATTAATTTATCGTAACAATCTTTTAGAAACCCCATTGAATTTCATTTAACACCTCATTTTTCTGCACACCTAAGAAAATATATTCAATTCCTAAAGTTTGTCTTTTTATTTACTACCTACGGAAATATTCAATTCCTTAATGTAATATATTTTTTAAAAACCACTGTACAATTTTTTCTTATAAGGAAATACCACTAAGCTCTTGGATGGTTTTTCTCTCTGTGTAGTGTCCCCAATGCCGCACACTTATGCAATACAATTGGCAGCCGGCACGTTCCACACGCACACATCCATCACTGATGCAACGCTGTGTGTACGTGAGTGCTTTACAAAAGTTGGCGAAAAGTGCAGCGGCCAAATAAGGATACTTGAAGCGAAGAAAGGATGCTGGAATATATATGTGTGTGTGTGTGTGTGTGAGTGTGTGTATGGAGTTCGCCACAAAAGCGGGATATAGTTTCTAGAGTCGCTATAGTTGCGGGGCAAACTAAGGCGCTGTTTACACTTCCAACGACTAAAAGACGAGCAAGAAGTCTTCAAGTAGAAGCGATGGAAAACTTTTGCAAATGTTTGCCCAGTCGAAAGTTTTTCATAAAACGGGTATTGGCTTTAATGTTCGCATGGCAGAGCTCGTTTGGCGAACAGCCAAGTCACGATTAAGATGCTGGGACCTCAGTCTTAGGACTTGATTAAAAAAAATTTAAAAATGGCATATTTATAAAAATAAAGATAACTAAACTAGATAAATAAACTAACTAGGTAACTTGGACCAACAATTTGCATACTGTTGCGTTTTTTTGTCCTTAGAACTTATTTCAAATATTTTAAAATATATATTTATTAAGGAGTTTTCTTTAAAAGATTCTTTTAAATCCGTCTGCATTGCTTGGATAACTAGTTAACTTACTAAAATATATTATATTATTTATTATCAAACTTTATTCACAAAGAATTTCATTACCAAAGTTGTTTCGTGCGAACAATAGCATTTGTTGTAAACTTGTTTTAAAAGGTAGATACATACATGGGCATTGGGAATTTATAGCTGTCCGAAGACATATAAACTTTAACCGATATTTCTCGGGGGAACCACAAACACTGTCACTTTAGCTGACCAACCACAAATGTTCTTCCCGTATCTGCAACTTTTGCACCACTTTTCCGAGCAACAATTGGCGTGGGAATGGAAATGTCTTTATATTTTATGCAGGCAATTAAAAGCAACACTCGATTGTGTATACCAACCATATAAACGTATGCGGCAGCTTAAAGTCTGAATTGTTATTGTTGTTGCCCGGGCAACGTTTCGCGGTCGCCTTGGCAATCAACTACATCGGACTCGGACTGGGGGTAAAAACAGCTGGAGGAACTCCGACGAACGGAGTGCTCCGCCCCATAGGGGTGACCATAAATTACCAGTCCGAGCAGACAGTGGCTCCTG